TTCATGGACATCACAGACACCAAACCCTCTGGATCAAAACCCACTGCCACCTCCTGAAAGCCTTTCCACAACATGAAGTGGAAAATTTAACTGCACTCAGCTCTCTCTGCAGGCTTTTTAACTTTTTTGTGTTCCTGCACATTTTAAAGTGCCTCTGCAACTGCCCAGACATCAGGGAACGCTCCTGGAGGAGGAACAAGCTCACATGGAGGCCCCCAGCAAGTCCTGCAGACAGGAATGCAGAAATGCAGAAATGCAGGCAGGGCACGAATTTGGGCTGTCATGGAAGCTCCAAAGAGCACAGAAACCTGGGAGGAGCTGGCTGGGTGCTCAGGAAGCAGGACTCAAGGTTTCACACTCACTTCCCAGCAGAGCTTATGGAGGGATGGAGAGCCCATTCCTCCCCAAGGCTGGCTGGAATTTGCCTTTAAAGTTGCAAAGTGTGATGAGATAATCTGAACCAACAAAACCTGCCTGTTACAGCACTGGAAGGGACAAGCAGGGACTGGATCCCAGCAGGAACTGCCCTGGCTTGCTGAGCACTGCTCCAAGGGAGGCTGGGAAGCCACAGGGAAGGCTGAAACCTTGACAAACCTACCAGGCCACTGTAAACCACAAAAAATAAACGAAAATATACATTAAAACCAAATATATATGTATTTTAATATATTTTCGTTTAATATAAATATATTAATTTCGTTTTATATTTTATATATATCTATATACATAAAATATATATACGAATATATACAATATATATTTTATATATTAGTATATATATACTATGTATAATAGATATTTTATATTTTAAATATTTTATATAATATATTTTATATATTTTATATAATATATATTATATATAAATATATGTTCATATATAATATATTTATATTATATACATGTGTATATAGAATATATATTTAAATATATATATAACGAAATTAATATATGTATATTAAACTAAAAAATATATATTAAAAAAGGGGAGGTGGGAAATAAAAAACCCCAAAAGTCAAGTAAAACTTTCCCGATGCTGCTTGGCTCTCCGCACGCTCGCTCCTGCAGGTCAGACACAGGCAGTCAGGGGTTCGTGTTCCTGCAGAGCAGCGCAGTTGTAGCGGGAAAATCGCGGGCAGAGAATTGCAGCGCAGCTCTGTGGCACGGGGTTTTACATCTGCAGACAGGAGATGCTGTGAGTGAGAGATGAGAGACGCTCTCCAGCTGTGGTTTAACTGCAGCCCAGAGACACTGAGCTGCTCTGCAAAGGCAGCTCCTTCAGAGAGCACTCTGTGACAACAAAGGCACGGGGAACTCCAGCCTGACAGCGCTTTTGTGAGCCGGCCCGAGCGCTGATTTACTCTGTAGTGCCCGGTTTGGGGGATTGGGCCGAGGGAAGCAGCGCTGCCAGGCACACCATCAGGCAGAGCAAACGAGCTGCCAGTAAAGCCTGGAGCTTCAGTGAGATGCTGCTGATGGGGAGGCGAACGCGCACTGCCACACTCCCTGCCACCACAGCGGCAGCCCCGAGGTGTGCCTGGTGTTTCTGGGATGGAGCTCTTTGCAGCTGCTTTGAATCTACTCCGGGAATTTAAAAATAAATAAATAAAAAGAAGTCACGACTGTTCCGAGCTGAGATGCACGCACTTAATCAGCCCGGGTGTTTAAATTATTTATCCACGAGGAGGAGAGCTGTGCTAATGTCAGGCAGAGAGCACACGAGGGGGAAGAGCAGACACAAAGGCTGTGCTCAGCAGCACAGAGCCCTCTCACGCACACGGTGACCCTGGCCACGGCTGTCCCCAGCCTCTGCCACTGCAGCCTGGCCTCACAGCTCACAACACAGATTCTGAGATTGCTTTTGCTGCCACCACAAGAAAGGTTCTCCCACTGGCAGGTGAAATGATTGTTTTCAGCCAGCACAAAGCCTTAGTTAGCCCAAAGTTGGTACTTAGCCTAGCTGGAAGGGCAGAACTTCAAAACTGGGGTTTTTCAAACCCTGTGTCTGGGGGAGAACACAATTCAGGAATTGCTTTGCCCCAAACGGTGCTCAGGAGCAGCTGGAAAGAGCAGAACTTGGAAACTGGGGTTTTTTCAAACCCAAACCCAGAGTCTGGGGGAAGGCACAACACTTTAGGTGAGTGCTCAGGAGCAGCTGGAAAGGGCAGAACTTGGAAACTGGGGTTTTTTCAAGCCCAAACCCGGTGTCTGGGGGAGAACACAATTCAGGAATTGCTTTGCCCCAATCAGTGCTCAGGAGCAGCTGGAAAGAGCAGAACTTGGAAACTGGGGTTTTTTTCTAAACCAATGTCTAGGGGAGAACACAATTCCTGAATTGCTTTGCCCCAGTCAGTGCCCAGGAGCAGCTGGAAGGGCAGAACTTAAAACAGGGTTTTTTTCAATCCCAGTGTCTGGAGGAGAACACAATTCAGGAATTGCTTTGCCCCAGTCAGTGCTCAGGGGCAGCTGGAAAGAGCAGAACTTGAACTGGGGTTTTTCAAGCCCAGTGTCTGGGGGAAAACACAACTCAGGAATTGCTTTGCTCAGTTGCAGCCTGCCCCTCCTCATCCCCAGCACCCAGCAAACAGCCTTGCCTTGCCTCTCCTCTCCTCTCCAAGCCTTCTCCTCCTGTCTCCCACCTGCCCAAGCTGCAAGGACACTGCCCAGCCGGAATATCCACAGCTCAGCCCATTGCAGCCTTGCTCCAAACTAAAATCCCTCCCACACCCAAATCCTGGGCAGGAAAATCCTTCTCCTCTCCTGAAAGCCGCTCAGGGAGCAGCTCAAGGTACTGCAGCTCCCTTCCAGCTGCTGTTTCCATCACTTTGTTTCCCCAGTCTGGGCAGCACACCAAAGATCACAAGGTTTGGGGGTTAAGTTTCATTCCAAAACCATCTCGTAGGAGAAGAATTCCTCCTCCATTTTATCCAGGGGCTGCTGGCAGGGGGACACCAGTGGGACATGACATCCTGGGTAAATATGTGAGGAGGAAAACCCTGAGCTGCTAATAAAACCGGAGAGGCAGAGCCCTGAGACACTCATTTGGTAATTCCTCTTGACACAGCCAACACTTAAAGTCTCCTGGCTGGGTTTCCCCTAAAAACCCACACAGCACTTCACAAACCAGCACAGGCACCCAGCAGGTCCATTTCCAGGGGATGCTGTGTTTGTTACTGACACAACAGCGCTCAACAAGGAGAAACCAGCAAGGAAGAGACACGCAGAGCTGCTGGAAATGACAGGGCTCTAACTGGGAGAGTGACCCGGTGTTATCCCAAGGTCCCTGAAATTATGCTCAGATAAGGTCTGGGAGACACTGCGAGAGGGAGCAGCAGCCAAAGGAGAGGGGAAGGAAATTAAAGAAATAACAGAGCAGCCTTTGGCACCATGGCCTGCCTCAGGTAAGGGCATCCTGAACCCTACTCCTTATTCCAGCTTTCATTTCATTATTGTTTTCAGCCTTTTCCCAGATTGTATTTCTGTCACTAGTTCTGTAACTAATCACAGACAAGACCACAGAGCCCGAATATCCTCACAGAGCCACAGAACCTCCTGAGCTGGATGGGACCCACCAGGGCCATCCAGCCCAGCCCCTGTTCCTGCATATTCATCCCAAATCCCACCTGAGCATCCCTGGAGCTCTGTGAGCTCCAATACCAACACAGCCCTCCCTGGCACAGCTCCAGCCTTTCCTGTCTCTGTCCTAGGGAGCAGAGACTGGAGCTGCAGACCCCAGTGAGATCCCCCTCAGCCTCCTCTCCTGCAGCTGAACATTCCAGGTGCCCTCAGCTGCTCCTTGTGTGGCCCCTCAGACCCTTCACCACCCTCATGCCCCTCCTTCGGGCATTTCCAACAGCTTGAGACCTGTCTGATGTTTTAATGTCCAAAATTACCCCCACTCCACAGGGCACATGTCACTCCTTTTGGGTTTTTTTTTTTTGGCTTGGATTTTTTTTTTTTTTGTAGATTATTTGGGAATTTTTAATTAAAGTGTCTTTACCTCTGAGCACCATTACTTTGGGGGCTGGCATTCCCCATCCCAGTTTTCACGGCAGAGGCACACACCTGAAGACGATCTGCCCGGTCGTTCAAGGCTTCCAAACACGCTCCCAGATAAGCACAGCTGTGTTTTTAACAGTAGCTGAGATTAGAGAATCTGAGAGAGGAAAATTTGATATAACGTTTCATGCTTTAGTTAGCAGTCTTCCAAGACACAAAGCTGCTCCAGTTGCTCTGGAAACTGTAACTTGGACACAACCATGCAGATACATCAGCCCCCTGGCTATAAATGAAACCACTTTAGCAGCACTGCACATTTGTATGACAAACATTTATTAAAGCCAGCGTCGCATCCCCCTCCTCCTGCAGCGAGGGCACAGCCCCTGGTCCCCCCAAAGCTCTGATTTCATTTCTAAGGGTCTGCCAGTGAAATAACAACCCCAGGTGACGGAGAGAGGGGAGGCACAGGTGGGATACAGCAACACACCCCAGCACCCAAAGGAGGGCTTGGCACGCAAAGGGACACGGTGGCATTTGGGGCACACACCGCTGGCCCAGGACAAGGCTGGGGATTCGTTATCCCTGTCCCTGGAAGCTGGAATAGAGGAAGAGCAGGAAGGCAGGAGGGGGATGCTCACACACGGAGAGGACACGGCGCCACAGCAGATGCCAGCCACATGGGCTCCTCAAAAACGGGAATATTCCACACACCAGCCAGGCCCGAGCGCTGGTTGCTGTGGAAACCATAACTCTGAATTCAGTGGCTGAACCCCAGCGCTGCTATTTATACCCTGCTCCTCACTACGGCACGAGGAGCCGGCCCGAGAGCGGAGCCCTGGCGCTCACCAACGTGGTTCTACACCTTTTACACACGCTGATCCCCCAAACCTGGCACCTTCCCAATGCTCTCCATCACTGCAGGGCTGCACAACACCAGGAAACACCAAAAAACCCAGCAGGGCCTTTCCTCTGCCAAGCAAGGCCAGGTGAACCCCTGCACAGACATGGGGCAGGAGTCATTGGATGCCATTGCATTCTACTTGGTCAGGAGCACCCAGAGGCACCAAAATTCAAAGCGCAGCTTGTCTTGTCTGCCTCAAGGCAAATCCCAGTCAGCATCACCTGGGATGAAGCAGGGCCAGAGCCCAGAGTCAGTTACCATCAGAGCATTTGTGCAAGAACTCCACAGTATTGCCTTGAAAATCCCAGAAAGCATAACTGGGTCATTAATGCAACAACAACAACAGCAGCAGCAAGGCTGCAGAACAAACCATTCTGGGGAGAATCCCTGCCACAACACGCATTTCCAAGCTGTGGGAGAAGGAAATGGCTTTTCCCCACAGGAATCACGATTTTGGGGCAGTAAGTGGGAATGGGAGCGATGTGCCTGCACCAAAGCTGAGGGGAGGCAACTGTGCCACATTCCTTTTCCACCTGCACCATTCCAGGGCCTGGGAGGGAAGGAACAGCCCCGTTCGTTTTCCCCCAAGCAGGATGGAGGGGCCAGCGCAGCACAGCCTTAAATAACTGTGCTCACAGGGTGACCATCCCCTTCCAGGCCATTCCAGGACCTCTCAGCCCCCAAACCGGCGCAGAAGGGCAAAAGCTGGGAGGGAACAACACTCACCAAGGTCACTGACACCCTCGGGATCCCACGGGACTGCCCCATCCCTGGGAAGCAGCAGGGACAGCAGCTCTGTGCCATCCCACAGCAGCACCCAGGGCAGGGACAGCACAGGGACACAGCAGAGCAGCCCCAGGGGCTGCCAGGGCTGCAGGAAGGTGTTCCCGGTGGGACTGAGCCCTTCCAGCACAGGTGAGGGAAGTCCCGCGTGCCCTTGCTCAATAATTTACATCACAGCGCTGAAGTGTCATTGAAAACCACAGGAGCATTTTAATAACACGGGGAGGGGGAAGATGCTCAGAGCACAGCACCCAACTCCACAGAGCTCAGCCTGCCCTGACTTATTTCAATACATTTATTAATCAGAATTTCAAATTATTAACAACTCCCGAGCGTACCCACTCCGTAGCCCTGGTCAGCTCTGCCAGCCCAGCCCTCGGGATCCGGGGGGACGGAGGGACATTGACGGGGAACACCAGGAACACCGTGTCACTTTCTGCCTTTCTGTATTTCCTTTCTGTCACTTTCTGCCTTTCATGTCACTTTCAGCGCTTCCCAGGCCACCGTGCCAGGGCTGGGAACACGCACTGCCTCCTGCCACCCCATCAGCACCGCGTTGGTGCCAGTGCTTCGAGCATCCCCTGGGACCCCCAAATCCTGCACGGCACCGTTTCCCCGGGACCCCCGGCCTGCGAGCATCCCCGGGACCCCCAACTCCTGCGGGGCACCGTTTCCCCGGGACCCCCGGCCTGCGAGCATTCCCGGGACCCGCAAATCCTGCACGGCACCGTTTCCCCGGGACCCCCGGCCTGCGAGCATCCCCTGGGACCCCCAAATCCTGCACGGCACCGTTTCCCCGGGACCCCCGGCCTCCGAGCATCCCCGGGACCCGCAGCTCCCGCAGGACCCCCGGCCTGCGAGCATCCCCCCACCGGGAGCCGCGGCTCCGGGCCGTGCGTGCCCCGGTGCCCGGGCTGCCGGTGCGGGCGCCTCCCGTGCCCCGCCGCGCTCAGCCGTGCGCGCCCCGGGCCGCTCCGCCGCGGTTACCGGCGGGGCAGGCACCGGGCTGGGGCTCGGCCCGGCGCGGGCATTTCCAGCGCAGCCCCGGCGCTCCCGGAGGCTGCGGCAGGGCGGGCTCGGGACCCGCCGCACGCCCCCCGCGCCGAGCGCAGCGGAGCGGGGATGGGGCCGCCCGCGGTGCCCGGGCGCGGGGCGCTCCGGTGAGCGCGGCGATGCGACCGGACGCGCACTCACCTGCACGGCGCCGGAGCTCGGTCGGTAGTCGGTGGTCGGTCGGCGGTGGGCGGCAGGCGGACGATGACCGAGTGTTGCTGGCCGGGGTCGCCGCCCGCCCCGGCAGCCGCTCCCGGTGCCCGCCGGGCGCCCGCGGCTCAGCGCGCGCCGCCGCCGCTGCCGCCTTAAGCCCTCCGCCCGCGGCAGGCGCCGCCGTCCATTGGCCGAGCCGCGCGTCAATCCGGGCCGCGCCGGCCAATGGGAGGCGCCGGCGGGGCCTTTGGAGTCGGGGAGCCCCGTGCGTGACAATGGGCGCGCGCGGCCGCGGGAGGGGCGGGGCCGAGGGGCGCGGGAGCGCGGCGCGCCCCGGGGCTCGGCCAATCGCAGCGCGGTGCGCGCCGGGCGCGCGCGGCGGGCGGGAGCGCGCGGCCCCTCAGGGTCACTCAGGGCCCCCTCAGAGCTCCCGAGCCCCGGCACCGGCAGCACCGGCAGCACCGCAGCGCTCCCCGCCGCCAACCGCGCCGGGAACAAACCCTCCCGCACCGTCCGCGGGAATAAAACATTCGCACAAGGGTGTTCCGAGCGCCAGGCGGTGCTTTATTGTTGGCCAGGGGATGCGCGGCTGGAATTGCAGCCTCCGCGCAGGCACGGCTACAGGGCTTGTTCACCCATTCGTACATTTCATCCAATAAAGGCGTTTGTAACTGACACAGGTCTCTTTCATAAATTAGTATTCTATCCTACTGGTTATTGGTTGCTTACGTCACGTTAATTAGTCCATATTTTTAGGCGTCTTATTATCTACTTCCTCCAGCAGGGCTTTTCCAACACATCTGCTGACTCCTTTTAGCATCTTCTTTACCTTCTGCTTTCTGCAAAGTGTCCTTGTGATCCATAAATTCTATATTCCAGATGTCCACACTAATCCATCTTCCTCTCCCACGCTTTGGTCACAGGAGCACATCAGAGTTAGTTTATAAAAAGTTCAAATTTCAGTCATTCTGCCCAGCTGTATTCCCACTAAAGTAGTTTATGACAACTTTGCTACATGCTGGCTAAGATAAATCTAAGAATAACACACGATAATTAACAGACATATTGGTTATGATGAATTAAAACAATTAATTTGAAAGTTAATTAAAGCCATTAATTGAAATGATAAAGCTCTATCATTTCTGGCAATGCAGTGAGGAACTGCTGAGGCATCTCCCCTTCCCGGGCTCCTGGACCCTTTAAAACCCCCAGGACCAGGGCTGAGCTTTGCCCATCTCTGTCTCTGTCCCAAAATGTGAAATGTGCCAAAATTCCCTTAAATATGATATTTGTACACTTCCCAGCCTGATCAGCTGGAAAGGAGATGTAACCCCAGAAACAGAGCAGCCAGCAAGCCCTAGGTGATACCCAGGTGTTGGAAACACAAAGTTCCTGCCCAGATGTGGGGCTGGATGTGTTTCTGTGGTGTCAGACACAGGGGAGGGGAGCAGAGGACAGTGGGCACGAGGAATGCTGCACATTTTATAATGCACTGATAAATAAACACCAGCTGGGCCTGAGGTTTTCAGCACAAAAAGCTGGGAGCACCTCCCCAGCACCTCTGCAAGTCAGAGTGGGGAAATCCAAACCAGCCCATTGTGTATCTAATAAAGAATATTTATTTTCTAATGCTGTGTATTTGTTCTGCCTCTAGAAACCAAACACAAAATCTCAGATATCATTGATCACGTGTTGCTCCCAAATCAAGTCCAAATATTAAATGTCAGTTTTCTTCATCAAGCCACTGAGTAATTAATGGCAGGTTTCAAACGGCATCACCACACCAAGCACTTCACCAAGGCAGAGCATTTAATCAGCAAGAATAAACACACATACCTGATTCCAGGTGTGCAGGGAATGCAGCAGGAGTGAAACACCTTCCTAGGAAATCCCGAGTTCAGGAATGACTGAGCTGCACAAAGGAGAGCTGTGTCTGACAGGGGCACACGGGAGCAGCTCAGTCAGAAATAAACCATTTGGTAACTCAATAAACACCGTCAAACTTACCTGGGGATAACCTGTGTGGAGGAGGAAAGCTCAGAAGCAAAGCTCTGTCTCTACTGCAGACGTTCCACTTGTTCAGTTTTGTAAATAAAGCCTTTTCCCTCTTTGCAATACACATTATTATGTAAATAATGCCTTTTCTCTCTTTGCACATTATTATTGTTAAGTAATTAATGCCTTTTCTCTCTTTGTAATTTCTCCTCCACACAAAAGAACGCTCCTGAGGGACAGGAACCACACGGGACATTGCAAGTGGGAAGGTGGGAAAAGGGTTAAAAAAATAAAAATGAGTAAACTGTTCTTTCAAAAATATTGGTGGGCTGTGAGCAGTACAAGCCAGGCCATCCAAACTGGTTTGAATTTGGCCTTGTTCTGTGCTGGTGGAACACTTACCTGCCTGTCAGAATTCCCTGTAGCTCTCAGGAGATGTTCTCCCCAATCCAGAAAATGTTGCCTTATTTTTGCCTTGGAAAACAGGAACCACAAGGCAATAATGAAGGTTTCTGGATTTCAGATTGATCAGGTTGGTTGCCAGCTCCATGCACAGAAAATGAGTATTCCTGCTTAGTTTGTAGTTTAGTGAGGACAGTCTGCTCCCCTGAGTGCAAAATACACACTAGGCCTCACAGTGCCTTGGAGAAGCTGTGTCAGGCTTCAGAAATCACAAATGCCTGCCCAGGTGCTCAGAAATCACAAAAATGCCTGCCCAGGTGTTTTTCAGCTGCTATTTCTGCCAGGCCAGCAATGGGATCACATCCTTCAGGATTATGGAAATGAGGGAGAAGCATTTGATGAGTTCTTGTCCAGGTCCCTCTGGATGCCCCATCCCGTCCCCCTGGTGTGTGACAGCAGCACAGAGCTCGGTGCCATCAGCCCCGCTGTCCTTGTCACCAGCAGAGACACCGAACAGCTCTGCCACAGGACAGCAGTGGGGCCAGTGATCCCCAGGGACTTTTCCAGCCCAAACCATTCCATGATTCCATGAGATGCACAGATGTACTCCTGTGCCTCTCACAGCTGCTTGTGAAGGGCACAGGAGAGAGCACCTGGCTACATCCCTAGCCCAGAGCTTTTCCTCCTCCTCAAATATTAATGCTTGGCTGATGGGAAGGTGGCCGTGCCCGTGTACTCCTCTGAATAATTCATTTAAATCATTAAAGTCACACACCAGTGACCTTTAACTCACCGGTGGGTTATAGCATGGCCTGTCCAACGCCACCCTTGGCCCGTGAGGGAGGCACTGGGAAGCATTCCCAGCGTCCCAGTGCTTTGGGAGAGCAGTGCGGAGAGCACAACCAGCACCAGAGGTGGCAGAGAGCCCCTTGTCCCACCCGTGTGTCCGTGTGGAGCGGGGAAGGAGGCAGGAATTGCAGGAGGAGCGGGCAGCAGGGCAGTGAGCTGCCCCTCCATTTATCTGTATTTCTGAGCCCCATCATCAGCACTGCTTCTGCAGGGCCTGAGAGCAGTGGGGTCCCTGCCTTGCCTCCACATAAACTCATTAAACCAACAGGGCAGACCTGGGCTGCTTGTACTCCTGCTGCCTGTGGTGCCACTCACTCTAGAATCCTTTTTCCCCAGACAGATTGGTTTCATGTTCACGGGAAGGGTTTTTCTGTCCTTATGGCCCTTGTTTTTATCGCAGTCCGTGCAAGATGCCATGTAAAGATCTGCTCTGTGTCCCCAGAGGAATTAGAGCAATCATTTCTAGCCATGTGAAAGCTTTTGGATCTTTTTCCAGACTAGTTGTTTTCAACCCTTGCAAGGCAGAATCTGTCCTGCACAAAATGATGAGCTATCCTCCACAGTTCCTGTGGGACATGGAAGGAGGCCTTTTTCCTTTTTCCTTTCCTTTCCTTTCCTTTCCTTTCCTTTCCTTTCCTTTCCTTTCGTTTCCTTTCCTTTCCTTTCCTTTCCTTTCCTTTCCTTTCTTTTCCTTCCCTTCCCTTCCCTTCCATTTTTTTTCCATAGTTTATGTTCTCACACAATCCAAGATGCATCAAGGTACCCAATTTACAAAGCTGGATGAAAAAGGACTTTTATTTTTGTGGAGCTGATCAGCCTACATCATTCCTTCCCTTTGCTTCCTCAAACCTCTCACTCATAAAAGTATTTTTGTTGTTTTTTGGTGGGGGGTTTCTTGGGTTTTTGTGGGTTTTTGTTGCTGTTTTTGTTACTCTCAATTTTATAGTATTTGGCCAAAGAGAAGCACTGAGGGAGGCAGAGCCTGTCCCCCAAACGTGGAGCAGGGGCGCCATCCTGTGGCGTTCTTTGACAATTGCAAGGAGCTAAAAACCCCGAACCGCCCGCAGCAAACCGCCCCAAATTGTTTATTTTGTCCCCATCAGAGCCCACGCTGAACCTAAAAAGGTGTAAGGAGCAACAAGTTGGCTCTAGCTTGTGTTGAGCAGGTTTTCCCTTTCCTGCCTCTGTTTTCTGTACAGATTAGAGCTCGGTGTCAGAAGCAGCGCCCAGAAATGACCGCCACAGGATGGCGCCCGTGCTCCACGAATCACACACCCGGTCCAGGAGCAGGGCTGCCATCCTTTGACTCTCCCTAATTGCCAGGAGCTAAAAAACCCCGAACCGCCCGCAGCAAACAGCCCCAAACTGTTCGTTCACACTGCCCCTTCTGTCCCATCAGAGCCCACGCTGAACCTGAAAAAATGTAAGAACCAACAAGTTGGTTTTATCTCGTGTTGAGCAGCTTTTTCCTTTCCTACCTCTGTTTTCTGTACAAATTAGAGCTCGGTGTCTGAAGCAGCGCCCAGAGATGACCGCCACAGGATGGCGCCCTTGCACCACGAATGGATGAGTGGTTCGAGGAGCAGGGGCGCCATCGTGTGGCGTTCCCTGGTAATTGCCAGGAGCTAAAAAACCCGAACTGCCCGCAGCAAACAGCCCCAAATTGTTCATTTTAAACCCAACAGAACCCACGCTGAACCTGGAAAATAAAATAAATGTAAGAAGCAACAAATTGGTTCTAGCTTGTGTTGAGCAGGTTTTTCCTTTCCCACCTCTGTTTTCTGTATAGACAGAGCTCAGTGTCTGAAGCAGCACCCAAAGATGTTCATGCCATGGGGGACCTTGTGGCACCCCAAAACCCCTTGCCGGGGGTGCAGCCAGGGGCAGGAGGGGAGGAAAGGGCCAGGAGGCTGCAGGGAGGAGGATTTGGCTCTGGAGAGGTGCCTGGCACAGCAGAGCAGGGCTGCACCTGGAGCTGTGTCAGAGTGATCCTGGGCAGAAAATCCTGGTTCTTCAAAGCCCCGTTTAGCCAGGATCAGTGGCAGGCTGGGATCAGGGAATGGCCACAGTCAGTGCTGCTCTCCAGCTGCTCCAGCTGCCAGGCTGGGCACTGCCAGGCTGGGCACTGCCAGCCAGGGACTATCAACAGCCTTAAACTGCTCCACCAGGCTCATGTGCCCACCTGGATGCCCCAGACTGGCAGGGCTGGACGTGGTTCAGCTTCTGGAGACGGCACAGCTCCTTCCAGAGCAGCCCCGCAGGCACACAGGGGCGCTGTGAGCACATTTTGGGAGCTGTTCCAGCCCCTGGAGCTGCAGGGATGGGGCTGCCCTGGGTGCAAAGTCTGCAGGCTGCTCCTGCTCCCCTTTGGCCCTGGGGACTGCAGGGAAACTTCCACACAGATGCAGGGCACTCAAATATTAATGAGTAAATGCTCCACAGTGCCTTGGAGCTGTATGGAAATTCGTGGCTGGTGCATTTTCCAGCTGCATTCCCGCTCATTAAGTGCTTGTGTTGAAGCAGCACCTCGAAGCCTTGTTTCATTGCGGTTCCCAACCATCCAGAGCTCCCAGAAAAGAAAACACGTGTCTAAAGCTCCAAATGAAACCACATCTTTATTATTCTGGACACCTGCCTGTTATATTCTGCTTGTCCTTCCTGCTTTCCTGCAGAAACGGGGCAGTTCACCCTGGGGTAGTGTTTATTTTCTAATTGCGCAATAATGAGCATTTTCCCTGTGGGTTTGTACTTTGCATCTCAAGGATTACCCAACGGGGCTGGGTTAAACCCAGGGCACCTCACCCTGCCACCTGCTGCACCACTGCCCTGTGCATGTGGCATAAATGAGAGTGCAGGGCAGCTTGTGTCTGAAATAAACCCAAAATGAGCCCTGGATCCTCCTCTGGCCCACGCTCACCCGGGCTGGCATTTGCAAAGTTTTCTGTTCAGTTTAGTTGCCACTGAAAGAACTTTCACAAATAGAAACCTGGCAATCCAATCTAGCACCAAGCTTTTCTTTCTCATCGCTGTGAATGAAACCCTTATCCAGCCACAAAGCGTGGCAAGGTACGGGGCTTTCTCTGGACTTTGTTGATGTTTACCAAGTTTATATTTTGAAGCACACATCCCATAAATATACCTCTGTGTTTATGCACAGACACGCAGTGTTTTGGTTGCATTCCTTTAGGTGCCTTTCGGTAGCTAAAATAACATTCCTGAGAGTGTAAACATTTTGAGAGACTCTCATTCAAAAAAAAAAGAAACAACATTTTTCAGATTGCTTTCTGGACAGTATTCTGTCTTTGGCCAGCTTCAGAAGGGATATTTCCATGCTGTAGCTTAAAAACCCTTTTAAACTCCAGCTCAGTTCCAGTTTGATTGCGCTCATCCCCCCAAACAGCCCCAGGATCCCCGTTTCCCTCCATCCTGCCTTTCTGTGGGCCCAGTCTCAGGCTGCCAGGCTGTTTCCAGAGGGGGAAGGAGGATTTGTGTGCAATCCCTGCAGCCCCCGGCGGACGCGAGCCGGCAGGAGCAGCAGCAATGTCACCAATCATTGAACCCCTCGGTGGGCAGGGCTCGGCAGAGGCGCAGCTCTCACCCCACGGCAGGGACAAAGTTCTGACCGACATTTACATTGCACAGCCCCTCTGTCCCCTCCGAGGCTCCCGTTTCGGGTTCGCCCAGCCCGGGAGGGCGAGCGGCACAAAGATAAGCTCGGCTTTGCTGCGAGTGAATGCGGTTTTAATCTCGCCCGTTCCACACAAAGGCTCTCCTGCTGACTCTGCTCTAATTACCAACCCCCTGGATGGCAGCAGCGCCTCCCCTCCTTCCTAAAGCGGGTTTTCCACAGGCTTGTGGGGAAATAATCATTTCCACAGCACGAATTTCAGCAGCACAGAGTAAGCGCCCTGTGCCAGCATCCCCCCGAGGCAGGAGTGGCTTTTATTGACCCTCCAATGCAGGGGAATTGCTCCTGACACACAGCTCTGGCCCAGGACACAGTGGGATGGACATTCCAGCTCGGTGCTTCTCCCACACAACCACCGCAGGCAGGAAATGGGATTTGCTTGCACCACGTGTGTGGTTGCCACGGGAAATGCAACTCTGAAATTCCCTCATTTTTAACTCGTATAGCATCCCACTGAGGAATTGCTCCCTCAAGGGCTTTAACCTTGCTCTAGGCCAGCCTTTTACAGGCCCTAAGGGCTGGGATTTTTTGCTACTTTGTCACATTTTGCTGAGAAGTTTATTAACTTTTCTCTGTACAGTTTATGCTGCTGTTAACCTCCATCACGCAGCAGTTACTTCATCCTTTAAACTAAAAAAGATTGGGGGAGAATCGAGATGCCAAAACTGCCTTTAAACTGGCAGATTGGGAGAGAACCAAGATGCTTTCTCTTCTCTCTTCTCTCTTCTCTCTTCTCCCTTCCCTTCCCTTCCCTTCCCTTCCCTTCCCTTCCCTTCTTCTCTTCTCTTTGACTCTGACACTCCAAATAACAAAACAATCAATCACCATTTGATGTGGCACGGTCAAATGATGATATTTCTTTTGTGCTGTGAAACTCAGTTGCGCTGGGGGTGTGGATTTTCTCGCCTAATGGCAAGATTTAAGAAAATAATGGAGTTAAAAAGATGTGGGACAAAACCAAACCAAACCTGCCCAACTGGGGCAGCCCAGGATTACTAACGCCATCAGTCTCTGAAATTAATTACTCCTGCTTATTTCACGTCGCCTCTGAAGAAACCTGACACACCTGGCTCCGGTCCAGCTGTTTGTGCCACATTTGTGTGGGAGCACAGAGAAGGGCACATCTTGGAACTCGCTTGCAGGGAGGAAACAACAAACTAAAGAAAACATCGGCGCAGCCTTGGAGAGCAGACTCAAAGAGAAAGCTCTGCAGGGAAGTAAAACGAGGTATTTGCATTTTTTAAAAGTTTAGAAACCTCTTTAAACCATGCAAGGGCCAGCTGGAGGGCATTGGAAGCTCTCCTGGTGCTGGAGCAGGCTCAGGGTGCTGTGCTGTCCCTGTTCCCTCACAAGTGACTCCTCTCAGGCACAGCAGGACTGACAGACCCTGCAGCACTGATAAACTCCCAGGAGATTATCCCTCCCTTCTTAGATAGGAAGCTCTGGCTGCTCTCTTCCCAGCATCTTCCCAGGGTTAAGCTGCGAATCCCAGTGTGTCTCTCTCTCAGACAAACAGCCTCCAGGGATTTATTGGATCAAGTTTTTTTTCACCTGGTTTGGTGCTCTCCAACAAACAAATCTCTGCTGCAATAATGTCACCTGAGCTGTGACTCTGATCTTTGTTGTGTGTGAGGTGTGAAACCACCACAACCTCTCTCCATCCTTCCCTGGCCTGATCAGGCGCCAAAAGAGTCACTTAAAACTACTTGGGCTTTACAGAAATCAATAAAAACCCCGTGGGCAGCAGGAAGGGGGGATTCTGTCCCTGTGCCCCGGTGAGACCCCGCTGCAGAGCTGCTGGAGAAAGCCCAGAGGTGGAAAGGCTCCAAAGTGACACGGAGCGGGTTAGAATTGGATATCGGGAATGAGGGATTGTTGCCGGGGAGGGCGGCAGCCCTGGCACAGGTGTCCGGAGCAGCCCCAGGCACGCTCCCGTCTCTCTGCGATTCTGGCTCAGGCTCCGAACAGCGCCGGGGCCGAGCGGCTCCTGCGACAGCACGGCGGCGGGGGCGCCCTCTGGCGGTGAAGAGGCGTAACGGGCACCGGGATCGGGAACGGGACCGGGACCGGGATGACAGCAGAGCTCCCCGGGGGCAGCCTCACAGCCGCATTCCAGATCGGGATGGGAGCGGAGCATCCGCCCGCAGCCCGGCACAGCTGCGGCAGGAGCGGGGACATCGAGCGGCGGCTCGTCCGCACGGCACGGCCCGGCACGACACGGAGGGGACAGCGCCGTGAGCCGTGCCGGGAGCAGCACCGCCGTCTCCGCTCCCGGTCCCTCTGAATCCTTCCCGGTCCGGGTCCCGACCCCCATCCCGTTCCCGTTCCCGTTCCCGTTCTCGACCCCGGTCCCTGTCGCCGTTCCGCACCTTCGCCGCCAGAGGGCGCCTCCCGCCGCCGCGCGCCCCGCCGCTCCCGCCTCCCCGCGCCCCGCCCCTCCCACCTCCCCGCGCTGCGATTGGCCGAGCGGCGCGCGGCGCGCAGCGCGATTGGCCGCCGCGCCGGCCGCCCGCCCTATATAACGGGAGAGGGGGCGTGGCCTGCCCGCAGTCCGCGGGCGCTGCGGGCGGGGCGGGCACAAGATGGCGGCGGTGCGGGCCGTGTGTGTGATGCGCGGCGAGGGGGCTGTGGAGGGCGTCATCCACTTCGAGCAGCAGGTGAGGGCACGGCCGGGCCGCCGGCACCGCCCCGGCGGCCGCGGAGCCCCCGGGACGCCCCTCTCCAGCCTGCTCGCCGTGGCGGAGGGAGCGGGCGGGCTCAGCCCGAGGGCGCTGCGGTTCCAAATGGCCGCGGCCCTCCGGAGCTGCGCTGTCCCGCGCGGCCGCGGGGTCACTCTGCCAAAGTACGGGATCTTTCTGGGAGGCCCCGTCAGATAACAGGCACTCCTTGTGCTTAGTGATAAACAGGGGAAGGAACGCGTTCGAGGGCGTTAAACGAACGCAGAGATTGCGGACAGCGCTGCCTTGGGCTCGTGGCGGGGCCTTTCTGTCACCTTGGTGTGACACGGAGCCGTGCAGCGGCAAAGTCCTTGTGCTGATCGGTGCTCTCCTTTGAAGGGTTCGGGACCCGTGAAAGTGACTGGGAAAATCACTGGCCTGGCCGATGGAGAGCACGGCTTCCACGTCCATGAGTTCGGGGACAACACCAATGGTAAGGTGTCCCTGCCGGCCCTGGAGTCCCCGCACAGGGGCTGCTCGGCCCTGCAGAGCTGCTCGCGGTGCTGCAGCAGCAGCTTGGCTCTCAGGGCTGCAAATCTGTGTGAGGAAATCGTGACCATTGCCGAGGAATTGCTTCCTGGATAATAAATACTCCGAGCTGAGCGTGTTGAGGCTGGTGGTCAAGAGCTGCCATACCAAGCACTCGCCTGAGCGCTTGGATAACTCAGCGTTATGAAATAAGAAAGCTGCTGGCTGAGCCTGGGACTTGCAGGGCTGTGGCAGGTGATTTATCTGCAGGGATTAGCAGGGCATGGCACGGGAGGGGAGCTCTTTGCTGTGCCTGGGAGCGCTGTGGGAGCCGCAGCTTTATCCTGGCATCCTGCTCTGACGCTGTGCTTGTTTCAGGGTGCACCAGTGCTGGCCCCCACTTCAACCCGGAGCAGAAGAAGCACGGGGGTCCTAGCGATGCTGAGAGGTGAGTCCAGGGCATGGGCACTGCCAGAAAATTCCTGGGAATTCCTGCAGGCTTCCCGAGGTCACTTAGCTGCTCTCTGGTAACTCCAGCAGTTTGTTTCCCTGACAGTGTGGGGTGAAACACGCTCCTGGGGACACCTTGTGGTTTTGTCACGGCTTGGGTGGAGGGGACAGGGAGGGCCTGATGCTCGTGCTGGGTATTGGATGTGAGTGGGATGTGGGACCTGGCTGTTCCCTGGGAGCAGCTCTCACAGCAGCTCCCTTGGGTGGGTGCCAGAGGAAGTGGTGTGGCCGTGCCTGCTGGGGTTGGGGAGCAGGGCTCAGGGAGCCTGGCCTTGCACAGGGACCGGGACAGCCCTTGGAATGCTGGCAAATCCCACCTGAGCCACAGGCCGGGCAGAGCTGGATTTGAGCCAGCTCCTGCATGACACAGCATGAAATGTGTGCTGGGCCCTGGCAGGCACTGCTCGGGGCTAAAGGTTGGGATTGCAGGGACAGTGGGGCTGCTACAGCCTTGGCACATCCCGATCCTGCATTGGCTGTGGGCAGGGAGGTTCCTTAGGAGGGTGCAAGAAGTGGATCTTGCTTATATCAGGGTAAGAAAGAACGGGAGTGATGCTTCCTGGAAGCTTAAATGAGGAGATTGCTCAGAGGAGAGCTGTCATTAACCCAGTTCTGTGGGACTTGGTTAAGAATAGGAATTTTTGTAGAAAGCTGGTGGTCAGCCCTGGGCTGGCTGAGCCTGGTCAGGGATGTGTCAGTATTCCAGGTTCTGTATCTGGACAGAGGAGCCTGACACAAGAGGATCAGCTGCATTTGGAGGGAATGCTGTGCTTGGGACAGGACACAGCACAGCAGCATGTCCACAAGTCCTGTGAAAGTTCCACTGCTCCAGGCTCAGCTCTCCAGGGAAGCCTTAGCAGAGATGCAGCTCTGATAGAAGCTGTGTGGGAGAGCAGAGTGCCAAGCGATGGGGCAATGCCAGACTGGAATAATCATCCCTGGCACAGGCTGGGACTGAGCAGTTCCTGCCCTGCCTGTGACCTGCTGCCTGACAAACAGCTTCTCCTAATCCCCTTAAACCCAAAGCCTGTGCAGTAGCTGAGCTGTCCTGGACAGCAGAAGCTCTGAGAACAGTGGTGGTGTTCACCAGGTCGGCAGGAAGGGTTGTTCCACTGGATCTGGGAGCCGTTGTTGTGCTGTAACATGAATTCCCAGCCTTGCCTTGGAATGCTTTGGGTGCAGGGCACATTGTGAGGTCGCTGTGTGTGCGCAGGCACGTGGGAGACCTGGGCAATGTGACTGCCAAGGGCGGCGTGGCCGAGGTGTGCATCCAGGACTCCGTCATCTCCCTCTCGGGACCACACTGCATCATCGGCCGCACCATGGTGGTGAGTGGGGGCCCCAGGGCAGGGACAGGGCATCCACAGCCATCCTGATCCATCCCTCTGTGCCTTGGCTGGCACCTCCCTGCCAACCTCCTGATGTCCCTCTCTGACTCTGCTCTTCTGCTGCGGGTGCCTGAATCGCCCCTGGGCAGCTGCAGTGGCAAGTTTTCAGCATGGAGACCAGGGTGTAGCTGCTCTGGAGGTGCTGCTGCTGCCAGGAGCGGCGATGGCTGGATCAATTAAGGTCCCTTTAATTGTGCTGCAGGTGCACGAGCGGCCGGATGACCTGGGCAAAGGGGGCAATGACGAGAGCCTGCTCACCGGGAACGCGGGGCCCCGCCTGGCCTGCGGGGTGATCGGGATTGCCAAGTGCTAAACGCTGCCTGCAGTGCTCCTCCTGCTGCTCCTGCCCCTCCTGCAACTTCAATGTGTCATCCACGTCCTGCTCCTCTGCATCCCGAGCAGCACTCGCACGCCGGAGACTGACCGACTTTTGTATGATGTACATTCAATTAAAGTGTCCCTGATGGAACGGCTCTGTGGTCTGTGCTCACCTCCTGCTGCCACCATTCTGTCACCTCCCTGCTCTGAGGGACCATGTGTAGTGCTCCTGTCCCAGCCCCTGGGTGTGTCAGGCTTCCTCCTGGGGCAGGGGCAGCATTTGTAGGCTTCAAACTTGTGTAATAAATGTTCTGGGCAGATACACCCGGGTCTGGCTGTCTGTGACCAGGAGAGAAAACCCAAAGGCCCAAACCTGCTCCTGCTGGGAAAGGGGGCCTGGGCTTCAGCAGGTGCATGGTTGAAATCCATCCAGGAAGAGGTGCCAGGTAGAATCCCAGGAGTGCCACTGTGTGCCAGCCCCCATCCTGTTGGGGTGTGTCCTTCTGAAGCAGATTTCAGGCTCTCTCTTCACAGAGAAAAGTGTCACTTCAACAAGGACTTGTACCAATGTTCCTTTCTTCTGCCCTTCAGGATATTAATGGAGTAGCAGGCTGTAGTTCCAGGTAACCCCACTCCACTGAGGCACAGGACTAAGGGAACTGAGTAGGAGAGCAGGAATACTGTAAAAACACGTTGAACTTACATTGCCCGTTGCTGCCAGAGCAGTGTGTGAGTCTTCTCCTCCCTGTGCCTCCTCCAGAGGGTTGCTGCTGCTGCTGCTGCTGTGAGGGCTGTGCACAGGCACTGCTGCAGAGGGTGTAGAGTTATTCCACCGTTTTCCAGGCTTTCAGATCCCTACTGAGGCAGAGAACAGGGGTGGGATTTGCATGAACAGTGCAGCCTTGTGCCTCTCATTGTCTCCAGCTCCCCAAGGAGGTGTTCTCAGTGAAACAAACCTACCTTCCTTACAGAGCTGGGGCAGCTTTTCCCGAGGCTCAAACCTGGATTTGTGGGACAAGGGAATGTCCCGTGGGCCCGGCAGGAAACAACCAGTGAGGACACGAGTTTTAACACATGGAAGCTGAGGTGACTACAATCTGTAAACAGGTTCTTTCTCTCTTTATTCTGCTATTGCAAGAACATAAAAATAGATGTCCTCTCCCCAGAGCTCCACAGCGGCTCTCCCACCCTCTCCCCCCCAGAGACAATTCCCTCTGCCCTTTCTTACAGCAGGGCAGCTGTAAAAAAGGACTGATGTAAGGAAGCAGCTGCCCTTCCCTTGGGGCAAAATCCCCAGCTTTAAAGGTAGAACACACCTATAGCAAGGAGAAAGAAACCATAGAATATGCACAGGATTCAAACACTGGTGCTGCTGGGGTTATGGGAGCTCTGAGCCACGTGGGGTGGGCAGAACTTCCCACAGCACCCTGCCCCAGGGATCAGCCACAGAGACACTGCACCTGCCCTCGGCAAGGCTGACAGCACACGGAAGGGCTCTCATGGGGAGGAGCCACAACACCCAGAACACCAGAACACCCTCTGTCCCCAGCCCGGGGACACAACCTACCTCTGGCAGGGTGAGCAGGGCAGCCCCGTGTCCATGGAGGGAGGGCCCAGTCCTTGTCCAGCCCCGCCTGCAGAGCCAGGCTGCAGTTGTGGCGCTCCGAGGTCTCGCTCCCAGCAAGTACCAAAGCTGCAGAGCAGGCACTGCCCGGCCTGGCTCACACCGTGTCACCTCAGAGCAGGTGCTCGGTGCCTGAAGGGGTCGCTTCTTAAAAAAAGGCAAATTAGGAGCAACAGGAACCACAGAACCAATTGAAGGGAGGGAGGGAAAAAAAAAAAATAAAGCAAAGAATGGATTGCATTGCAAACACTAAAACAGTTAACTCTGCAATTAACATCTTAAAACTAACTTTTACCCGGGGTGGTCAAGTAGCTCATTAAAATGCAGCAATCTAAAACTCCAGAGGACTGTTACAAATAAAAATTCACTTCTGTGAATCGCTACACAAACAGATGGATTTCCTTTAACAAACAGAACCAAACCAGTCTAATTTAGACTCCAGTACAGCATTAACAGTTCCAACTTTAGGCTGCTGACACTCCTTTTCCACTTCAGTGCAGCGTAGGAAGAATAGCACACGTTAAAAGTTTGTTACGAAAATAGAGTTTATTAAAAACACATCCCTATTGTTTTGAGGAGCTTTCACCGTTACCTTTTCTTAAATTAAAAAAAAAATAGAAAGCACTTCTACTTCTGATTCGTAAACTTTTTAAAGTCAAAACTTTAAAAAAGTTACAGCAAAAATGGGTAATATTTTAATCATCTCTTCAGTATTTTATGTTATGTTGTGGCTATTTTAAATAGAAGGGAAGCAATCAAATTGCTCGCGGCGCCCCGCCTCGGGGCGCGGGGCGGAAGCGGATTTACAGCACTGTACAAGCCACGCCGGGCTCCGCGGCCCGGGCGGCCCTAGCGCGGCGCCTCGGCCGCCGAGCCCGTGTCCTTGTCCGCCTGTTCCAGGGATGAGGTAGCCTCGGGCGCTGACTCCGGCGCGGCGCTGGCGCCCGCGGGCTCGGCGTCTCCCGCAGCCAGTTCTGAAACGAGTTCCGCGCCCTCCGTTTTGCCGCCGTGCGACTCGTGGTTTTTGTCGCCCTCCGCCCTGTCTGTCACCTCCGGCTTCTCCTTGCCGCGGCTCTCCTCCTTGTCTCTGCGCGACTCCCGATCCCTGGAATCCCTCTCCCTGTCTCGGTGGCCGCTGGAGCGCCTGTTCCTGTCCTCCGAGTCCCTGTGCCGGTCGCGCTCGGGGCTGCGGCGTCCCCAGTCTCGCCGGTCGCGCCCGCCCGGCCGCTCGTGCTCCCGCTCGTCGCGGCCGCCGTAGCGCTCCCGCTCGCCGTCGGCGCGGCTCCCGAAGGATCTCCTGCCGAAGCGCTCCTGCTCTCTGCCGCCGCCGCCCGCGAACTGCCTGTCGTTCCGGAACTGCCGCCCGTCCCTGCTCTCCTCGCCGCCGCCCTGGCTGCCCGCGGGCCGCACGAAGTGGCCGGGCGGAGGGAAGGGCGCCTTCATGCCGTGCGGGGGAGGCATGCCGAAGCCGCCGGGGCCCGGCGGCGGCCCCCGGTGCATCATGTGCGGCGGCATGTGGCGCGGCGGCAGCATGGGGAAGCGCGGCAGCGGCGGCGGCGGCGGCATCCCCGGCGGGCGCTGCAGCGGGATCAGCCCGGGCCGGGCGCCCAGCAGCCCCGTGGACGGAGTCTGCAGCCCCACCACGGGCGCGGGCGGCGGCGGCGCCACCCCCTGCGTGCCTGCAAGGAACACAAGCGACAGTCAGAGCCGGCGCCGGGCTGCGGAGCGCTGCCCGACCTCAAACCCAATAATCTGCGGTTATCTGGGAAAGGAGCGCCCCAGAACCGCGAGCGGAGCGGCCTGGGCTCTGTGCGCTGCTGGCAGCAAGGGCTGTGCCCAGGGCGGCAGCTAACCCTCATCCCAGAGACTTCCCTGGGACAGCCTTGCCCTGGTGCAGGAACAGCTCCCCCTGATCCCAGAGGTTTCCCTGGGACAGCCTTGCCCTGGTGCAGGAACAGCTCCCCTGATCCCAGAGACTTGCTGGGGAGAGCCTTGCCTTGTGCAGGAACAGCTCCCCCTGATCCCAGAGACTTCCTTAGGAGAGCCTTTGCCTTGTGCAGGAACAACTCTCCCTGATCCCAGAGACTTCCCTGGGGAGAGCCTTGCCTTGTGCAGGAACAACTCTCCCTGATCCCAGAGACTTCCTTAGGAGAGCCTTTGCCTTGTGCAGGAACAACTCTCCCTGATCCCAGAGACTTCCCTGGGGAGAGCCTTGCCCTGGTGCAGGAACAGCTCCCCCTGATCCCAGAGACTTCCCTGGGAGAGCCTTGCCTTGTGCAGGAACAGCTCCCCTGATCCCAGAGACTTCCCTGGGGAGAGCCTTGCCCTGGTGCAGGAACAGCTCTCCCTGAGCCCCAGCTCAGCCTCCTGCTTCCCCAAGCGACATCAGCCAAAGCCCCTTCCAGGTGAAGACACCCTACTCCCTCCAGTGGGATTCAGGCATTTCCTTCTGCCACAAACAGCAGCTGAACACCCCACAGCTTCACAGCACCAGAAACAGGCACAGAGGAGGCTCGAGTACAGCTGAGCACAGCTCTCTTTACCACTCCACAGAAAAGGGACACAACAAAGATTCATAGTAGCATAAACCTTGCAATGTAAATGAAAAGGAAATGCAACAGTAGAATAAACCCTGCAATGTAAACTAAAAGGAAATGCAACAGGTCATTGCTGGCTTCTTTTTTTTGTAATAGTGTTCCATCCTTTATAGCACATATGCAGCACCAACTATTTTCCAGTTTTATTCTTATGCTCCTCATAGGAGTTAAAAAACTCCCTCTCCAAAAACACTGTCAGACAAAGCTGAGCCCACAGCTCCTGGACACCAACACAAGGAGCCAAAAACAGGATTTTGACAAGAATCCTGAGCTCCAGCTGAGCCCTTCTCCCCACCGCAGGGCAGGTGCCTCCAGTCTGAACCAGGAGCACTGTCCAGTGCTCCCAGAGCCCTCACACTGCTCCATCTGCTCCTGCTCGCCAGCTCCTCCTGCCCTAGGAACACAGCCCCTGCCTGGGAAAACCAGGGTGAAACACTGCGGGAATTCATGCTGGAATTAATGTCAGCAGTGAAACTGCCCTTGGGAGCAGCCACATGAGCTGCCGTGGTGTTCATCCCTCCCCTGTCCAGCTTTGGCACCTGTCCCCAGACACAGCTGAGCCTGCTGCGCTGCCCTCTCACCACACACTGACTTTGAGGGATGTCTCTGACAGAAACCTTTTCACCTGAGTGCTCTTTACATTCACATTGGAAGGAAGTTGGATTTTGCCAGTGAGAAGATTCATGTGACATCTTCCAGTCCACGATATCCTCTCTCCTTTGCACAGCTCCCACTCTTGGAGACAAATGGTACAGTACCAACAGCATTTTTTTTCCTGCATTTATCCCTTTCTCTAAAATTCAGAGCCTTCTTCCCTCCTGGTCAATAAGCAGGTCTGTAACCACTCAGTTTAAACTCCTCCTGTGACAGAACTGCAGATCTGACAAGACAGACTCATAGCTAATGATGTCTCCCAGGAATTCTGAGGTTTGGGGATATTCTTGTTGGTAAAAACATCTTTTAATCTTCCCCAGAAGATTAAAACAAGGCAGAAAAGAATAACTGAGAACTAAAGAGCTGAAGTTAAGCCTGTGCTCCTGCTTAGAAGCAGCAGAGCAGATGTGGGTTACCAGAGCATGAACAGGAGGTGAGGGAGGCAAGTTTCACATTTAATAAGTCATTAAATTTCTCAACCTTATTTCTACACAAACTGCAGCATGAAGCAACATAATTGTACCTGGAACACCACCATACTGAACTGCACTGGCTGCAGAGCTGCACACTTCGTATTTTACATTTATTTTAAATATCAACCCTCTTCAGTGCTGAGGCTAAAGCAACTGTAGAACTGCTGGAGTTTGCTCACTCTCCTGACAAATCAGGCACCAACTCAAAACCTAAAGAGCTGTCCAGAAACACATCCCAGCTTACTGAAAATGCTCAGGGAAATTCATGCTACAGACACACACACCATGTCTGGGGCAAGTTAAAATCCTCTTTTGTTTTAGGAAGTACCTGACATTCAAGCAGTTTCCTGAGCTGGGTATGAACTCCCTGAGCTCTGAGACAAGCCCCGAGGTGATTTCCTGACCCAGCTTGTCCTGCTGCAGCCAGTTCCCTCACACCTGCCACCTGCTGCTCTGTCCCCATGTGCAAAACCACACCTTGCCTTCACAACAGATTTTATGGGTTTGGGAGGAGCAACCATCACACACCACAGTGTCCCAAGTTACATCACCGACTCCTACAACACAGCCCAGAGTGCTCAGGCTGGCCTGAAGGATCTTCTGTCCAGGGAGGGCACAGGAGTCATCCTTACTGCTTTGATAAATTAGGGATGAAGCCACATTTCCATGTCACTGTGATCCAGAGCTGACCATCTCTCCCAGCTGGACAAAGCCTACATTCCCTTGGGATAATTCCCATGTCACCAGGGCTAACACACCTGATTTACTCTTACACAAACTCTGCTCACTCAGTGGTTCCAGGAACTTGAACCCAACCCCTTGAATCACCTCCCAGCACGTGGAGCTCTGTGCTGTCTGTCTGTCTCCCATGGAAACACACGGAACAAGCCAAAAGCTCATGGATCCAGCACAACAGCAGCAGGGCTTCACTCCACTCTGAAGCTGCTGTTCTCCAGCATTCTGCATGTCCTCCAGTGGGGAATGTGGCATCCTACAGCTAGAGTGTTAAATACTGCCAGGGAATTCCTGAGAGGGAGACCATGTTCTCAGTCTGGTGGGATTTTGCTGGAGTTTGCTACAGAATCATACAGAACCTCACGCATTCCCAAGTGCAGGAATATCAAGTGCAGGTTATGTTGTCCAAAGCAGTGAAACTCCAAAACTCTGTGCTACCTTTACAGGAAGTGTCATTCAGCAGGAAGGTGTGAATTTCTGAAATTCCTAACAAAATTCCCTGAACTCCATGGTGTCACCACAGAGTTTCTCAAGCTTTTCTCTGTTTTGAAAGGGTCTTCTGTCAAGTTTTCAACATGCAGGATCCATAAATCATTAGTCATGGATGGAAAATTTAGCCCTCACATCCAATAGAGCAGTGAGCTCTCAGGGAGACAAATCTGATTTTCTTCACTGATCACTGAAAATTCTGGGCAGAAACCCACTAACAAAAAATTAGCTTTTCATTCATTTCCTAGGCTCTCATGTAGAGGCCTAAAATCCTCTAAATGCAGTAATCTCACTAAAATTTTCATGTAACAAGTCTCTTGAGTAAATTCTTGACACTGGCCCATCCAAAGCCATCATAAAATAAGCATTTAGCAGAGTTCTGTAACAGTTCACACTCCCTTTCAAAACCTGACCAAATTTGTATCATATTAGGAAAAGAAATTAATGCAACATACTCCCATTACCCTGGGTTTGCTAGTCAGAAAAACATTTGGTAAGATTTAAATAAAATATTCTTACAAAGGTTTCAAAACCTGTCCTACTGCAGGGCTGCATAAAAGCTTTTGGTTTTCTGTTCTGTTACAACAATTTATTCCATACATAACAAGAAAGCACCCCATCCTCAGAGATTTCAAAAATACACTAAAAATAGTTTCTCTGCATTTTAATTTTGTATATCTAATAGTTGAGTCTAAAACCTGGTTCCTATGTCCATACAGATGTGTTGCTCTAAGTTCATTGTCTAGACTGTATAAACCTTCACTTGCTAAAAGTGGACAGTATTTGAATTTGTAACTTACACATCATGGCTTTGGATCTTCAGTAGTAAAAAATACTGACTGTTTCTCCTGTGCAAAATTAAGTCTTTAAAGTTGATTTGAAAGCCAACAACAGGACAGAAATTTCAAGTTGAGAAGAATGCGCTTCCCTTTCCCCTGGCCTGTGAGTCAGTAGCCAAACCAAAATGGCATTTACAATGCAGGGAACAATGGAGAGCAGAACTTCCCCAGGAGGGCACTTACCAAGGAGTGGAACAGCCTGGGTGACAGGAGCAGGGACGTTGGTAGGTGCTACAGGAGGTGGGACAGTGCCATAGAGTTTGGAAGCGTCGGTACTTTCAGCATTCCCTCTGCCTCCAGACACTACTGTTGGGATGGGATTTCCTACGGACGACTCCTTGGCAGCGTCCTCGCTCCCACCAGTGGCTGTAGCTGAGGAACAAGGCAAGGGCACACTGAGCACCAGCAGCAACCCCTGCAGGCCCCCTGCCCTCCCCAGGGCCCAGCACTCACAGTTGGGGATGTTCACTGCCGGAGTGTGCGGGACGGAGACCGGAGGGGTTATGGGAGGCGGCGGCCCGGGAGGAAGGAACCCTAAAGAAGCACAGCAGAGAGAGCCCTGAGTGCCCCTGGCACAGCCCAGGGCAGCTCTGCCCTGCAGGGCCCGGGCTGGCCCTCCCCACAAACCTGGAGGTAAATGCAGCGGGTTGAAGCCCGGCCGGAGGAACGGAGGCGGCGGCGGCGGCGGCACCCCGGGGGCGAATCCGGGAGGGGGAATTCCTAAAGGTGCTGTGAAAGCTGGGGGCTGGAGTGCACCCACCACGGGGGGCCCTGATGGATGGGGGGGAACCTGGGAAAGGAAAGGGAAACGTGGGTTACCCCAGGAGTGCCCCAATGGCTCTGTGTCCCGCTGGGGATCTCTGTCCTTGTCCAGCACCACCAGGACATCTCAGCGACCCCAAACTCCTCTGCAACAAGGGGGCACTTGCACAGAAGATGCAGGAGCACTCCAGAACTCCCATCACTGAAAACACCAACACCAGCCCTGTCTGCCTTTGTAATTAGAGAATTGTCCTCTGTGCTAATGCCTGTTGGTAACCCACCTCCACAAACCCCTCACACAGCGCCTGGGATTCATATGCACCCAGCAAGATGGATTTCCAGACAGGATCCACTGGAATGCTCACAGCTTCAGAGCAACTAAAAACCTCTGCTTGTCTCTTTCTCACTACCTGAGCTTGCACATTACAGTGACTGGTGTCTCCTTCTCCTTTATTTCTGATTTATAGCAAACTCTGAATTTAAATTAGCTCTGATACACTGACAAGAAACTACCGATATAGAAGTAGAGGAGTATCTGCCAACAGGAAAAGCTTTTTGAGGAACATTAATTAATAAAACAAACAACAAAAAAAAAAAGCCAATCACAAAACCTGAAGATGCAATTCAGCCCTTCTAAAACAAAGATTCCACTGCAGCAATTCCTCTGTGACTGAGAGAACAGAGTTCCCATTCATGGCATTCCCTCCCTCCCTGAATTATTATTTAAAGTGAGTTTTGTTTGTTTCTGCGTAACAACTCTCACCTGTGGAGGAGGTACTGTTATTGGTGCAGGCATGGGAACAGGAATTGGGACAGGTAAAGCTTTGGGAATAGGTGACACTGGTTCATTGTGTGCAGCTTCTGCGCCTCCATTCTGAGCCACTTCATTCTCAGACTTCTTGGGAATTCCCTTCCACTCTGCCCAAAACAAAATCCCAGCAGACACAGGTCAGACAAGCAGTGCCATGTGAAACATGCTTAGTCATGTTCACAAAAATTGAAAATACTCAGGTAATAACAGCACAGAGCTAAGAAGCATTTATACTGTTTCTGACAACAAAAAAATCCAAAATAATTTGGACACAGCAAATAAACTTGTTCCTTTCAGCAGTCATTTAACAATCCTTTGCACTGGCAGAGTTCATACACACCCAGGATTCTGTTACATTTTCTGTGACAAAAACTGTAAGGCTCTTTGGGACAAGCTTTCAACAGGTCCATTCTATTGCTCTCAGGTAAGAAGGCAGCAGCTTTGCCACTGATTTGAGAACTCATTTCTAAAAATCCCAACATCTTCAAGTCTCAAACAAGGAAAAGGAGAATACAACTCTAAAGAATTGCAGCAAAATGACAAAAATGCCAAATATAGCTCTAAACCTAATTTATGGAAGAAATAGCTCCTATTGTCTGTCAGAACTTCCTGGGAAAAGCCAGCTAAGCACAAAGAGGATCAGTGAGGGGGCACTTTGGGAAAGAGAAAAGCACTGAGAGGACTGGAACACACTGACATTATGCTCATGATTCATTACATTTTTGTTTAAAACACACAGCTGATTTTTGTGTGTTCAGCATGAAGAGATGCTACAATTAGAGCACATAATCACCAGCTAATTGGGCAAACTTTACAGAATGGTCAAATCCTGAAGTAAAGGTTCAATAAAAACCATGCAGTGACACTGTACCTGGACTAAGGGTCTCGTTGTCCAGCATTCCTCCTTCACAGAAACTTTCCAGATCTTCAGGTTTGACTTTGTCCCATGGTATGTAAGTCACACCCAGTTCCACATCCCAATACTGCTTGTAGTCTGGCTTTATTCCTTTATTCAGAGCCCAGGCAATCTTGGGGGGGAGGAAATACAAGTGGTCAGTATAATGTTCCCATTTTCATGGATTTATTATTTCATTCTCACAAAACAGCATTTGAAGGTAAAAAGTAAAAAGCCTAAGTGAAACAGCTACAAAACTCTGAAGAACGTATTTTTTAAGCAGACTTGGTTCCTATTTCTTGGCTTGACTCTTGCACACAATTTGTAAAAATGTATAAAGCCAGCTTCTTCTGATGATCCCCAGCCACTAAGATTAATTCCATTTCCCTTTGGAGGACAGTGTCACACTAATTTGACATTCTACAGCAGGAAGAACTTCACTAATTGATGCACATTTCCTTATTTATGAGTACTCTGTAGGATTATCATATGCAATGAAACTCTGTTAGGAGACAAATAACAGCAACAAGAAACACACAGTGCCAGTGCCCTGCAATGAGCAAAAGGGAACCCTTTCTGTTGATTCAACAGACAATTATTGGCAATCTTTCAAGGAAACTGATACAAGGTTCCACTATCCCACTACAGACCAGGCACAATAATTCCCAAAAACCAGTTCACTGATGTATTTTCGCAGGATTTTATAGAATGTCATCTCCAGAACCCATATGAGTCTGAAATAGCCCAAAGCCCAGCAGAGATGAGACAGGATGACAGTAATTCCAGCAGCTGTGGAAAGCCTGATGCTTTCAAGCAGTACCTTGATGGATTTCTGGTTGACTTTGAAGTTGCCTCGGCTCAGTTTCTGCAGGGCTCTGTTGGCATCTTGTCTGTGCACCATGACAATGTAGGCACATCCTCTGGGCGGTATCATCTGGGTGGGGTTTGAAATGAAATGAAAAAGTTCATTTTGTGGGTAACAAAAAGTCAACAACACACAAATGCTCAGTTACAGCAAGCTGGGACATCAGGGGCTGTTCCAAAGGGGCTGTGCAAGTATGGAAGGAAATGTTAGTTTAAGAGGCTAAGAAAGCCAGTATCTTCTGGAAATTCACATTTCTAGTGAACTGAAACTTCCACAACTTCTGAAACCTCCAAACTCTAAAATACAGCTGACTTCTGCACATCTAATCATTTTAAATTGCTAAACAATAGTGTTCATGTAAATTCCAACATCTGGCAATTAGTTACTTTGTTGGAATGCACAACAGTATCCCCCTTCACTCTGCCAGCTGCACCTCCACATTCAGTTCTAGCTGCAGATTTGGAATAATTTTTATTTGTAATGAATTTGAGGAAAAAACTCCTATGCTCTCTTACAAAATTTGGGAATAGAAAGAAAATTAGTCACTTATTTTTGTTCGTTTGAATGAATGAAATTTTTGAAGTTACTGGAACAGCTATAATTTATACATAAAATATCCTTAAATACAGCAAAATAAAACAATAGTTGTCTGTGTTTATGGCTAAAATGACAGAAGAGCAACAAGAACACCAGCTGAGAGTCCATGCTCCTATAATCAAATAAAATGAAGCAGCCAAGGAACTCAGAAGCATGGGATGTAATTCTGCAGCCATCATCCTGCAGGGAAAGCAGGATTTTTATGAAAATGGGGTAATTTTCTGTACTTTTATACTGCAGGAAACCAAAGCAGCTCCCTTCTTGTTTGTGTACAAGTCAGCCACATGCTCTGAGTGCCCACACCAAAAACACAAGACATGGAAAATGAGAGGCCAGCTCTTTGGAATGTATCAGAGATAACGCTGCCTCACAGCAGCCTGGAGAGATGTTGTGCACCCAAACACATCAGAGTAGCTGACACTGCACCCTTCTACTCACATTGATGGACTCAATGGGGCCAAACTCCTCCAGGAGACTTCCCACATCCTGCTGAGTCGTCCTTTTGTCCAGCTGTCCTACCCAGAGTGTGGTACTGCAAACTACAACCAAGAGTTAGTACAGGCGGTCCTTACAGCACAGATAACCAACACCTATCCCATGCTGAACCCAGGGTAATAACCAGGAAAGGAGCTCAAGCTATCCCCCAGGCTGCAGGTTACTGCAGCAACACTCTACACTCATCCAGGTTTTCCACCTGAGAGATACAGAACTGCAAACTCTGAGAGCCAACCTGACAGAACCTGGGACAGGTGCTGGCAGCAGCACATCTCACAGCACTGCAGGGAGCTTCCACTGAGCAGCTCCAGGGCTGCTCTACCCCTGGGACCATCACTCACCACTTGGCTCTTGAAACACCTCAGGGTTTTGTCTCTCTTATATGAGAAAGAATCTTTTTATTTTACTTGATGAGAGGATTCCACACTCCCAAGGAACATGCACAAGACTACTACGTTTGGTGTATAAACGCTGGCAAAACCAGGATTGTATCAGAAATCCAACCATCAGCCTGTGTGCTTTCCAGGTCAGTCAGATCTCTTCTTCAGGTTGGGGAAATACACAGGACTGAATACATAGAAAAATTGTAATAATTTACAATTAACTCAAATCCATTTTGTTCACCTCGGACAAATCTGCTTTACCTTATATATCGAAGGAAGGAAAAGAAAAACATGGGATTTCAGCTTTTTCATATTCTACAGCCAAAATACCTCAAACTTGGAGATACTCCAGAAATGCTAAATATGAGTGAAGAAGCAGAGGAAGTGTGGTGAGATTCCCACCAGGAATCAAAAGGCAGTTAGTTTCTGCTCTGTTTGGATGAGCCCCGGAGAGCACAAGCAGCAGCATTAACCCCAAGGAGCACAGCGAGAACACCGGGCCCCACGGGAAGGTGCAGGGTGACCCAGAGAAGCAGGAAGGGAACACACTCACCACTGACAGTCTCTGCCTTGATCTGGGGCAGCCCCTTGGAGCGGCGCTCCTTCTCCCGCTCGCGCTCGCGCCGCTCCTGCGAGCGGGACTTGGGCGAGCGCCGGCGCCGCTCCCGGGAGCGCGAGCGGGAGCGCCGGTGCCGCGAGCGCCGCGAGCGCGAGCCCGACCGCGAGCGTCTCCTCTTGGGGGACCTGTGGGAACCAAGGCACCCTGCTCAGAGCCTGAGACAGCCTCAGCTGTACAGCACCCCCAGGGCTCCCTCAGGAAGGGAACACGTCAATCCCAGCTCATTCACACAAAGAATTTGTCACGAGCGCGAGCCCGACCGCGAGCGTCTCCTCTTGGGGGACCTGTGGGAACCGAGGCACCCTGCTCAGAGCATGACACACAGCCTCACTCATACAACACCCCCAGGGCTCCCTCAGGAAGGGAACACAGCAATCCCAGCTCATTCACACAAAAAATTTCTTGTCATGTACTAATTTTGTCCTGAAGTTGACCAGCAAAACTGCGTCCACTTCAACACAGGGAAAAGTATACTTCCATCAATGATGCAAATATTTACTGCTTTTACAAAGAAATGGCTAAAAATGATTATAAATAAATTATAAATTATAAATAAATTCTGCCACTGAAATTGTATTTTACATCGTGTTCAAGTTCTAAACCATCAAGGTGTGGCAGACCTTCAGAGAAATCATGTGGAGCGATTGCATCTTGGTGAACAAGATGACTTCCTGCAACTAAACAGAGAGTGGAGCCAGATCTGCTCGGTCAGCTGGGATGTGACACACGGGCTCAGTGACACACAAAGTCACAGATCACAAATGTTTTCATAAGAAAAGTGAGTTTAATTTGCCTGTGCTCTAAACAATCACATTCTGCCTCCCTAAAATTGACTCTGGACTGAAAGGCATGGAAGTTGCTCTCTTCCAGTGACAGAGAACTGCACGGATACAATATTTTCCCTAGAAGGGAGATGACTTTAGAGGTTCATTATCTTAGAGCTGTTAATCTGCTTTTCATTCCTGCACTCAAAGAACTTTCACTCACTTACCTTGATGCAGATCTAGATCTTGATTTCCTACTGTCAGAAACATGCCGTTTTCCCTCCTGAATGGGAGGCTGTTCCACTTCCATATCCTAAAACACGAAATTGACAGGTGTTAGGGGTGAGCAGGACAAGCATTCTATTTCTTTTTATGCTTAGACTAAATAACCAGCACTGAAAATACACTGAATATTCAAATGTGTGAAATTAAAGAGTAATGTGACTCAAAACCTTCACCCTGTGATCACTAGCAGGGAGAGGGTCCAGTACTGCATGTACTTAACACAGCCACTGAAAAGGCACCATAGAAATAATTCACACAATTCCCATTTTCAATTTGCAAATTATTGGTTTCCACATTTCACCCCATTTCAGCAACACCTGCATCTCCACAAAACATGATTTTATTCCTTAAGATCGGTCAGTGGATCATGCTCCATCATCAAAATCCCAGGCAAAGTGAAATCTGCTGCAACTTTTCTCCAAGATGTTATAAGAAATTACTTTAAGGCTGAATTATGCTGGAGGCAGGAAAGGGGTAAGTCCTGGAGCTCTCTCCCAGCAGAGCCAGCCTCATAGCCAGCTGTGTCCTGGTCATGCTGACACTTCTGCTCCAGGACAATCCACACACATTTGGGAAGGACATGTATGAGAGCATCTGAGTTGGCCTGCTCACTGCAAGGGCTGCTCACCTGCTGGTGGGGTTTCTGCAGGTGTGGCTCAGCCTGCACTGGGAAGGGAGACTGGAAAGTTGGCTGCACTGGTGCTGCTGGAGGCATCACTGGCTGAGCCATGGGTGGGAACTGGGGGGTAGGCAGGAGACCAAAGCCTGGCATCTGCCCATTCGGAGGAAGAGGCACCTTGGGAGAAGAAAAGATACAGAATTCCAGCTAGAAGAAGGAATTACATTCACTTTCCCAGCAGTAAAAGATGGGGGAACAAACAAAAAGATGGGGAAAAGATGAAGCAGGCCAAGCATTTGGGTGCACAAGTAACAATCTTGTCCTTCAAAGCCTGACTAGGACAGACACCAAAGATATGTTTCTTTGGGAAGAAGCAGGGCTAAGCCACATTCACTGCTCACCAGCAGGAAAATCACTTCCTTCCTGCTGCACCAAAGGAAACAGCAAAGCATGGAAAGCACAAGAGGGGGACAAGGGAAAAGCCTGGGTTACCTGGTGCCGCATCGGATCCTGCTGCATTCCCATCATCCGCTGCTGAAATGGATCCATGTTTGGGAGCTGAGGAAACACTGGCTGCTGCATGCCTTCTCCTGGAAACCCACTAAAACAGGAGTATTTTGGTGAGACAAGTCAGTAGATGCACAGGTCTGTCTTTATTTTACAGATTTCTATGCACATTTACACATTCTGGCTGTTATTTTAGACAGAACAATTATCTTTGCTATGATCCCGTTTCCAACAAAAAAAGAAAAGGAAGAAAGAGTGGCTTCCTGATCTTTGCTCCACTCTAAGAGCAGTCCTTTCACATTTACATAAATGCTACACAAAGGTTAGAGCCTCTCTCGCCCCTGCACTTCCATGAGCTTGCTGAAGATCTCAGCCTGCAGAAACATTTCAGGAAGGTTTTCTGCCTTAGGCTCATTCTCTCCCTTTGCAGCTCCTCTTCTGGGAACAAAAGAAGCAATGCTTTTTCCCTCAAGGAGAAGAAACTGGCTGTACTTTTGCTGCAAAACACTTTGGTTTGGGAGGAAATAGGGCAGAGCAGAAGGGGGTGGGTATCACATGAGGATTATTACAGCGATGCCCATCACTTCCTGATTCAACACACAGAATGGACAGTGCTCAGGGAATTCTGGAGGTCTGCAGGTAACAGGACCTGCTTGCAGGATGCAGCCTGTGCAAGAAACTCAGCAGCATTTCAGGGGAGAAAGGAATTTGGTGGTGATGGGAAATGGAACTTTGCAGCGTCTGAAGACAATTCTGAGAAGATTGTGGACAGATCAGTATTTTACAGAGAGAATTACTGAGCGCGCATGCCCCAGACTGGGAGCACTGGGATGCCACCCTCAGGGACACCCTGCACAGCTGTGAGGCCCTGAAGCACCACCTACAGAACATGAACATGCCCACAAGCCTCCAGCTGGGCAGACACCAGCAGTGCCTGTGACCTACCTCCTCTTTCTGCACTCCAGAGCTCCATCTGCATTCTAAGGCAAACACTACCCACTTCCTTCAGAGACCCTGAATGAGCTACTACTGGTGGACATGAGGTGCTCGAGGTGAGAGACACAGGCAGAAAGCTGATGACAGAGTTAGTGGTTCTGGTTTTGAGAGCAGGCTTTAGATGCAGATACAGAGTAAGACATGGGGCCACGCACTGAAGCAGGGAAAAAAGAAATATGGACTAACCCCGGCATTGAGCACCATCCAGCCTGTGCACTGAATGAGAGAGAGGTCCTGTGGAAAAAACTGGCATGTGGTCATGTCATTCCAGACTTTATCATAATGCACAGCAAAAGGGAAACAGGAGCCTGAGCTGGCTTGTGTGGGGATGGAATGTTTGCCAACATAAAACTGTAAAGGCGATTTTCATTTCTCGAATACTAGAAACTATCACAACGTTTGGAAGAGCAGCTTTTCCCCAGCCAGTAAAGCAATCCAGCTGATCCAGTGATGCCCTGACACCCTCAGATGTACTGTAAAAACATGGAACTCATCCTGCAACCAAAACTGAGCTTTTCTCTACAGAACAGAGCCCTCCACCAATGAGGCAACATCAGATCACCAAAGTAACGAGACACAAAAATCTCCCCACCAAAACCTCTTAACAGTGTTTTAAATGTGGACTGTTAATTCAGTTAAACTGAATTAACTTGAAATTTTAATCTACTTTCTCACCTAGAAATGTTTTAGGACAAAGATTTGTTAGTTTTATTTATGACACACAACTTACAAAGCTGGCTGAGACACTGCAGGGGAAGGAGCTGAATCTTCTTTCTTAGAATCTTCCACAGCTTCTGGTTCATCATCGTAGTCAAACCGATCTAGCAGCTTCTGAAAGAAACCACATCAGCACAACTATTTTTTCTGTATCTTACCCACCTGGCAGCCAAAATATCTTTATTATCACATTCTTACAAGCGGTGTAAGCTCTGAAACTAAAGACAAGATTAGAATTTGGGGAAAAACAGAAATCTGTATTCCAATACCAAATAAAAACTGTCCAAAACCAGATTTCTCCATCTTGAGAAAATGCAAACCAAGACTTACTTTGTCAAATGATGTTTTCTGCTCAGGTGCTGTGAAAGCAGCTTTCTGCTCTGGGGGCTGTGCTGCTGTGGTTTTCAGCTGAGCAGTAATAGCTTGAACCTGAGCCATCACAGTGTTGTCTATGACCGGTGACTGGGGCTTCTGAGGCTGCTGGAAGGTCTGCAGGATTTGCTGCAGCTACAGAAACATGAGACAGTATGAAGTGAATGTCCTCATACAAACTCCGAGTATTGAAGGAGTTGCAGGCTATAAATTTTAAGTCAATACAGATTATGGCAGGGGATGAACACAGCAACAACCAGACTGAGCTGTGGAGCATGAACAGCAAGACCACGAGTCCCTTTTTAAATATTTTGGTGGCAGAATTCAGTAGATCCCAACATTGCAGTGCTCAGGCCCTTCAACACAGCAAACATTCAAATGGACTGAACGATAAAATTCCTCATTTCCTTTGAGACATTCCACCTGTTCCAGAAACCTTCTTACTGCATCAATTTGTACCCAATTACTTAGGCACTGAATATCATGAAATATCACAATTATTGGATGGAAGAATTTAAATACTCTTTCCCACCGAAGACCTTTGGGAAGCTTTAGCTCCAAACGCAGGCTGTCGGTGCCACCATTTCCCGTCGTTTCAGGCAGGCCCTGAAGGGGACAGCGAGCAGGTTACCTGTTGTCCCTGTGTTGTCTGGAACAGCTGGGCCACGGCTGCGAAGGCGTCGGAGCTGGGCAGCTGCGGCACGGCGGGCACCGAGTTCGCGGTCACCGGCGGCGGCTCCGAGGGAACCTTGGCCGGAGGGGGCGGCGAGCCTGGGGGGGCCAGGAACACAGGGGGGCTGTGAGACTCCACAGGGTCCCTCCTGCTCCCCACCGCAAGTGTCAGCTGCCTGCCCCCCTGTTTATCCCAGAAGGGCCTACTTGCAGCACCCCGGCTGCATTTCCTGTTTGCTCTGCCATGAACTGCTCCGCTCACTGCTCACACCTGCACCTGGCGTGCACTGGGACAGAAAAGCTGCTCCCACACGGAATTTCAGCTCCCAGCTCCGTGTTTGTAGCTGTGCAGGTTTAGGAAAGCTCTCACCACTCAAACAGCATAAGGCAGAGAGCTTCAATACCCTGAAAGTGGTGGCTCTGCTTCCACAGGCCTGGGCTCATCCTTTGGGATCAACCACCTCATGGCTCACTGCAAGAGCAGCTGAGTTTCTCTCAGCATTTTCCACCAGTAACTGAACCTCTGCAGACAAGTCTGGCAATAATTAAAGGTTTTTAAGGATTACTTCAGAGGCAGTTTTCTTTGATAAAGTTTGTTCACATGTTCCTTTTGCATGTGCACATGCCACACCAGCAGCTGATGGATAAATCCTCCCACCAGGAAAATGATTTTTACTCATTTTTCCAGGAAAAGATTCCCATTTCTACTAAGCTTTGCTGAAACTGAGATCACAATTTAAGATATTCTCTTAGTGTTCCCATTCTCTCTACCTTACATTACTACACCTTTTTTAATAAACATCTTGCCAGTACCACATAAATTAGCAATAATCCCATCAATTCCTACATACTGTAACTATTGCTCACCAGATCTGTTTTAATGGAGATAATAAAGCTGTACAAGGAGTAAGTTAAAAAAACTCTACAGATAGAAATATTTAGTTTGAAACACTAAGCAAACATGTTTGCCTTGCAATAGCTACTCCTTTAAAGCCCTTCCTCTGTTTGCACTTCAAATAACTCCAGTGTTGACAGGCAGCAAGCACAGGCAAATGTGTTGAACAATACTTTCCCAGAAGTGAAATGCAACATAAAGCAAAAAGGTATATATTGTTTTTAAATATAAAGTAACTCCCCAATTATTTCCTGAATACATTCAGCAGTATATATGCTTGCTCAAGGGAGAAAATTTGCATTTCTCTCTGTTTTTATGGGTGAAACAGACTCTACTTCACATAATGCATTAATATATTTATTACTATTATTCATTAGCATATTTATTGCAGGGCCAAATTACCCCCTCTGGTGCACCTGAATAACCTCACAGAAGATCTCTGCAGAAGGCAGCCAACCTGCTCACCACTACAGAGGAGAGAGAGCTGGCCAGGCAGTGCCCCTCACCTGCCCCAAAATTCAACTGCACAGCCACCACTCTGCCCCCAGGCTCAGGTGGGGCAAGGCATTCCCTGGCCCTGGCAGGTTTAGAAAGCCTTTAATGGGACACACTTCCCTGAACACAGCTGGAGACATTGCAGTGTTCTGCTGTCTCTCAGCACACCTCACTCCCTCCACTCCATTTTCCCAGTCCCGCTCCATGAGCACAGTAAACAAGGAGGTTAGCACAGCTCAGTGTGAAACACGAGTGCAGAGCCAACAAGCTGCTCTCTGCAGAGAGAGGGAACTGTGGAATGCATGTTCCCTGCAAGCTCTGCTGTGGCACTAAATAGGTCAGTGCAGGCACTGTGGGCAGCCTGGCACTGCTGGGCTCTGCAGGTCAGTGCCCCTCAGGCAGCAGCCCGTGCAAAATCCCAGGCACAAATGTTCTCTCTGAGAACCTGGAAGTGAAACACCAGCCCCAGACTGTCAGGGCTGCACACTCAGGCACTGGCAGCTGCTGCTTTCAGCCACTGAGCTGACTGAAAGGAAGATGAAGCTCTTTAACATCCAAGATCCCACTTACTTACCTGGACTCTGGCATTAAAAAAATAACATCAGAATTATAAAATTGAGAAATCACATAAAAATATTCCAAAGCAAAAGAGAAAATATTATCTGTTTAAGAGGGCACATGAAGTCACCTGTATATATACGTACACATGCATATATATATTTAATATATTTCCCAAGTCAGTATTCACATGCTGATAATTTCTGAAGTACAGTATCAGTACTTATTAAAAATGAGTTTGGCTGCTCATTGTGACAAAGCTGACTTTACTGCTATGTCACTGCTGGAACTAGGAGCCGACACACTGTGCTGAAGGCAAACAAGCTGCTGCCATGTGCCCTTTGAGAGCAGAAGTTAAAATGTCATTCCTACCTTCATTGTTAGTAGCATTCTCTGCCATGGGTGCAGTGGCACTGGTTCCTGCTGCCATATCCAAGAGAGGCTGAATGATTTCAATTTTAAATACTCCATTTTTCTGCCAGAGGTTCAGAACACGAACTATTTTACTCTGTTGAAACAAAAGGAAGCACCAATGCTGAATCCAGCTTTCTTCTGTTGGCAGAGAAGGTTTGAACAGCAAGTGACATAATCACACCAGCTTAACAAACCCTGTGTCGTGACAGAGGGCAGCAACACCTTTGAAGTGGCAAAGACAAGCAACCTGTGACATTTCCCTAAAACCCTTCTGGCCAGGCAGAAATCCAGGTGTGATGGACAATCCAGGACATCATTTCAGCCCCACGTCTGCACAGGGATGAAACACCAAGCCATGTGACCAAAAAGAGACAAGGAAAATAAGCTGAAAAGCCTTCATGAAGAGAGGGACAGTTAGACCAGAAAATGCTGCCACAACACTGCGAAGTCAGATTGAGTACCTTGCTTGGTATTGTGCCTAATTCTATGTTGAGACCAGAAACTGCATCTCCGTCATTATCCAAAAGATGAGGAAAGCAAGTGGAAACATCCTCACTGATCACTGCAGGATTAATTTAGAGTCTCCGATTGTCAGCTGTTATTTCAAGCTCTTTTTTTTTTTTTTGTACATGAAGAACAATGCAGCTTCCAGGAACAAGCTGCAAATTGGCCTTTCCTTCTTCAGCCCAGCATTCAAACAAAAAACTCTCAGTAGTTGTGCTGCCTCAGCTGGAGCATGCAAGCAGGTAGAAGGCAGAACACATGTTGGATTGCTGTTCTTTCTGCAGACTTAGTCATGCACCTGCACACACAGAAGCTTTAAGTACCTTTTAGTTCAAATGAATTGATTCTCTTCTTTCACTGTGACTCAGTTTTATACACCCATGTAAATCCACCTCTAACTAAGTGATTAAAAAATTTTACAAAATGTTTGCTAAAATAACATCCATTATAGAGAAACTTGAAATGTCTATTTTTAAGTAACATTTTGGTCTGAAAAACAGTTACCTTTTTTTTGCTTTGGGGATTTTATCTCCCCAGAGAACTTGAAAATCATACAAAGGTCAAAAAATGGGCAAAAGCAATTCTCCAATTTTCAGTCACATATTAATTTTACAGAAAGGCTGTTAAAAAAAAAAGCATCATTATCCTCTTCAGATATCCCCCACAGCTGTTGAGGATCTGCAGATCAGGGTATTTTTGGTTTTAGGAAACAGAACTTCATTAAAGCAAGTGTGTTATAAATAATAATATTCCCTATTTCAAGTAGTTCCATGAAGGAGATGGACAGTCTCATTCACTCAGATGAACAAAATGGTAATGCAGAAACAGAAAGGAGAAGGGACTGCTCTGTTTCACAGGCCAGCAACCCAGGAGCTCCCAAATATCAGATCCAATGCCTGAAGGTCTAAATGTTCCATATTAGAGAACTGCAGAGCATCAGAGCCTTTCAAAAGCTTATTCAGAGAGTCAGAGAGGAAGTCAGGTAGAAAAGGACTATTTCACTCTTACAAAGAGAAAGGGAGTAGGTGATTTTCTGGAAACCAACTGGCAGCTTCTAAACCACACTGTTCTTGGGAGTCTCAAAACTGTTCTGACAAAGGTCACAGAAACCATCTTCTCTGGACCATCAGGAATTCACAGCACTTTCTGAGCCTCTGTTCTACTAAAAGGTACAGCAGAACTAAGAAAAATGAGGCCTTAGACCAGCCCTGACAGTGGGGAGCACCAACAAAACTCAAGTATTGGATTGGAAAAGACTAAAGAAATCAACATGATGATTTTCTTAGAAAACATTTCTGAACAGAACAGTCTCTGCCAACAAAACCAAAGCTTCTCCTGCAATGCTGTCTTCTTGTGGCAGGAAGTTCTGAAGGAGCCTCAAGAAGAACTTCTGGCACACTTACACTGCTGAACTGCGTGTAAAAAAACCGATGAGGTCAGGCAAAATACATTTTAACTTGAATTTGCATTTAGCTGTCATCTGTGATAACCCTCAGCAGCAGTCACCGCCAGGGTGAGAGAGAACCCCCAAATCACTACCCAGGCAGCACCCATCAGCGCCCAGCAACACCCGAAGGGCTCGTCCTACCTTGTCTTCAGATGGGCACAGATACAAATACTGGAATGTGGCAGTGATGTTCTTGGAGAACCTGGGCCCAAAGACGTCCTTGTCGGTGCCGAACTGGTGCCGCGACTGCCGCACGATGGAGTCGATGACGTACAGGCCCGGCACTTTGTACTCTGGCTTGCACTGCAGAACAGCAGCAGGGTGGGAGTGAGGGGGGAACAGAGCCTGAGAGTCCCTGCACACCTGCTCTGGGGCTGCAGTCCTGATCTGGAACTCTGCTCTGGGGCTGGAACCCTCTGAGCCTCCCTGCACACCTGCTCTGGGGCTGGAACCCTGCTCTGCAACCCTGCTCTGGGGCTGGAGTCCTGCTCTGGAACCCTGCTCTGGAACCCTGCTCTGGGGCTGGAGTCCTGCTCTGCAACCCTGCTCTGGGGCTGCAAACCTCTGAGCCTCACTGCACACCTGCTCTGGGGCTGGAACCCTGCTGCTCTGGAACGCTGCTCTGGGGCTGGAGTCCTGCTCTGGGGCTGGAACCCTCTGAGCCTTCCTGCACACCTGCTCTGGGGATGGGGTCCTGCCCTGGAACTCTGCTCTGGGGCTGGAACCCTGCTCTGGAACCCTGCTCCGGGGCTGCGACTCTGCTCTGCAGCCCAGCCCTGCTCTTCCTGCCCAGGCAAGCATGAACACACATTCTCTGGAATTATCTATTGTCTCAGGGATGATTCCTTTCAGTTCAGCACCTCCAGGTGCCTCCCCAGCTGCTGAGTAGGGAAGGTGGGAAATCTCACAATTTACTGCTTTCCTCCCCTCCTTAATGTGTTGTGGAAAACTACAATGTGGAACTCACACAGACAAAGTGATACCTAGCAAACCAGAATTTCCTCCCTCAATCCCTAAGGAACAGAAGCCTTTCTGGTTATTTACTAGCATTATTACCAATATCTAGCAATGCATATCAATACATTTCTTTTTTTACTTTTTACCTTTTTGATAAACTTCTCCACAATCTGGACAACGTGCTTGTAGAGCTGGAAAATAAATACAACCATTCATTTATCATCTCCTCAGCAGTGGCACATCATTTTAGAAGCATTTTAACTCTTTATGCTTACTACCATTTCAGAAAGGCTACAGAACATTGCAGTCACATTCCAAAAAGCAGAATGTTCCCAAACAGAAAAATATTCCATGGGGAAAGCCAGGCCCAAGCCAGAAGTGTGTCAGTGTGCACACAAGGCACAGAGCTCGCCAAGTACTAGTGAAAGCTTTCTGGATTTACTTTCTCTGCAATCCACACTGGTTTCACATGCTAAGGTGCAGCTGCATCCTGCAATATTTAGTTTTATTACACACAATCACAACACTCGAGTGGGTGTAGCATGAAAAAGCAACGACTCAAAGAAATCAAGCTGGCATTTTGCTCCCAGCCCAAAACCAAGGGATGAGATTCACCACCCACTTGTTTCTAGACAACAGCCTTAACAGCAACTAGAATAAACCATCCCCCAAGCTGAGATTGGGAAATCCTGAGTATTTACTTACAAGTGAAATAATAAAACATTGCTGCTGTTCCAGTTTCATCTTTGTTTTGTTGTACTTTACCTTAATAGCTTTAATGGCAGCTTTTGTGATGAGAATCATCTTTGCTCGGGAAATAGGAGGTTTCATCTCCATCAGTGAGAAGAGCTAAACAGAGAAAACAAACATTAGAAATGCACTCTGAAGTTCAGCAATTAAGCAAAACCAACATTTCAGGTGGGTGATTGGAGCAGTGCCATCCCACACTGTGCTGGCTGGCCCTGGGAGGAGTGGCTGCTTTACAAAGACAAGGAAATCAGCATTTACCAGCTAAAAAGAACTGCTCTGCACACTTGGCTGCCTGACCCTCCCAGGAGAAAAGTTCACTCCTCAAGGAGAACCTCTGCAGAAACTATAGATATTATATGAAGTTTAGAGAGGTTTATATGAAGTATATAGAAATTATGTGTCATCTCTATAGGTGACATTGGCCATAACTGAAAATAAGCATTGGCTCCACATTTCGGAAACTGAGGGAAACCAGGACTGCACACAGAGAGCTGAGCACACACACATAATTGGTTTTACCTTGAAATATTCCTCACAAATCACAGAAAAAATTGGTCTGTGTTACATAATTTCATTTTGTCTTCATCATAAAGAAAAAATTGAGCCCTTGAATGCGAGTGAAAAATGTCATCAATTATTTGCCACACAGCAAAGTAAGAGAATCAAAGTGTCTCCATTTGTCAGTGTAATGGAAAGTAAGATGTCATTTAAAACTTTGTCTCTTATGTTATTAATTAAAGCTCCAAGATACTGGTGAAGTGACCAACTTACACAGATTTATCCACTGTCTCAGTTAAGGAAAAAAGCCATCAATGAAGGAGATAAAGAACTGGCCACAAGCTCAGAGAAAAGGGAAGTGCTAACAGGGCTTGGAGCTGTACAAAAGGAAGCCTTACACTTAGGAAACACCAAGAGTAGGAAATTTATTTTCTTATTTTGTATCTACTTTCTTAATTTGATTCCTATTCCAGGAGACAGGAAAGAAGAAAAGCTGTCCTTGCAGACAGTGGTAGCCACATGCCTTTTCCAACACCAACACAAGCCCATGACTTTTCATTATTCATGCCCACAAAATGAAAGTTTTTGTGCCCGAACGTTGGGGTTTTAAAGCCACTGCAGCTGTAAGAGATACCCCAGCTAACATCACTGCTTGCTGAGAAATCACAGTATGGACAAATGAAAACTGCCAGATAAAACACAGAAGGAGAGAGGGCTCTGTGAGCCGATATGGGTTTTTTAAAACATCTTTTCAGTTTAGACTTAAGTGCTTTAGAATTAAGTGCAGAGACTCTTGATGAACAAAGTCAGTGCTATTATTAAATCTCAGGAAAATCTGTTTGAAGAGGTTACAAAATGGGGGGGAAATCCACACCCCAACACCCACAAACAAACCACCAGAAGGCTCCGAAACTGAGATGGGGGAGGAAGAAAAAGAGGCAGCATTACAACAGACACTCCACATCCCCTCCTTTACCCATGAAGAAGCCACTGGCTCCCCCAGGAAAGGACCCAGTCCCACAGAAACAGAACAAAGCAGCTGCTGTGGAAGCACTGCTTTGATGTTTGGATTTCAGGAACACAAGGAGAGACCCCAAGGAAACTGGGAGAGCTCAGAGCAGGGCCCAAGGTGACAAGAAACGAGTGCAGCAAAATAATAAAAAGAAATGTCCTAAAAGTATCCCAAGCAGGACATTGCAACTGGGGGAAACACAGAAAAAAATAAAAATCCAAGGACACAAACTGCCAGGGAGAAAGAAGGCACATATACATGAGTGTCCCTATCTATCTATCTATCTATCTATGTATCTATCTATCTATCTATCTATCTATCCATCCATCCATCCATCCTGCTCTTTTCACCCCCACTTGGAACTTTACCTCAGAATTTTGCTCCTTTTCTTGAAACTACCTAAGATGTCAGAACACCAAATAGCTATTTATAGTCAATTTTGATGTCATTCTTGGTACGTTACATGTCAACAGCATGTTTTAGAGATGGCTACAGCTAAAATTCAGCTCCTTTCCTAGTTCCCTGTGGTTTCTCCCTGCTGGAAGGAGGAGCTGCTCAGAGGACACCCAGGTATTTCCAGGTGCATTTGCTCAGTTAGACCTGGATCTTCTTGCACACACACTTCCCAAACCAATATACAAAACAGGCACCCCAGCACTATTTTTAGAGGGCTGGTTCACAATAGTACATCCAGTTTCTCATGATCAGCTCAAGGAACAACTTGCACACAAAAATTTACACTCTATTAAAAAAAAAAAAGTATGTAACAAAGGCAGAGAAAATGTACAGCTTGAGGTTTTCCAGAGTCCTGCCTCACAACAGGAACCTGTGCCTGCAATGCTGTGACCTGCCAGAAGTGACTTTCTGCTTTTACTGCCCCTAACTGCCTGTTTACAGGATGTTGATACAAAAGAAGCAGAGGTGTTAAAGGGTATTACACTCAGGCCACAGTACAAAATATTTAAGATTTAAGAGTATTTCTGGGTGCTTCTCCCAGCAGGATGCAAGTACACGGTAAAGTATCTACAAAGCCAGGGATGCAAAAGGCAGAAAATTCACCTGCTCAGTTTCAGGCTAAAAATGCCATTAAAGCACAGCAGGCCAGCAAAAGGGAGAGCAAGGCCAGAGGGACTGTGCCCAAACGCACGAGTGTGAAACACAGGAGCTCACAGGGGCAGAGGGAGCACAGTCCTTCCAGCTCCAGCCCAGCAGCCCGTGAGGTGCAGGCAATGCACAAGGAACAGGTGCTGCTGGTGGCCTTCACGTCTCACTCTTTTGAGCAGCAAATGATTAATGTCTCTCATTCTATAATTAATGCCTCTGATGGTTTAGTTTACATGGAAACCTGAGAACCAGGGGGTTCTGAAGTAAAGGGGAGAAGTGCTACTTTAACATTTACCCAGCTTGAGGTATGATGTTAAATCTATCTGTTTTATGTCTGGGTAACACAGTAAAAGTGCCTTTAGGACTTGAGCTGACTTCCTTGGCTTTGCCCTCCTGCTCAGGTGTCTGTGCCATAGAAAGGTGTCTGTATTTCCAAACAAAGAGCTGTGGGCCCGTTTGATTCAGTCCCTGAACAAACCCCAGAGCACAGCAGCTGCACAGAGAGGAAGGAGCTCCAGAACCAGACAGTGCTTAGTGATTAGGGGATATCAAGCAGCCAGGTCATTGTCAGGACACCTCATTCAGCCTCCCCTTCTCCAATTTCCAGAGCAGTCTAACACACCTCAGCCATCCCAACATGCCTTGGGTGTCCAACAACCCTTCCCAAAGCAGGCTCCACGTCCATTCGCTGTCCTTTGGAATGGATTTTATTCATGCATTTACAAAGCCAACCAGCAGTGACTCACAGGCCTGGCTGCAGTTACTTGTTCCTGTACAGAAACAGAGGGATTGTGGAGGACATGACACCAAGCCCAGCTATTGCACTATTTTGTTAACAAAACTCCTTTACTGCTAATGCTAATGCATGGCTAGATCTCTGAGAGCAATTCTGTCACTCTAGACATTTTCCCTCCCCTGTAGAAGTCACTGATCCCTTTCCTCTTCAGGCCCCCGTTTTTCCTTGAGGGAAGGAGGAGGATGTGTTGCTAAGCTGTATCTCAGAGGATCAATGCAAGTCTGAAAGGCCTGACCAGCAGCTGTGAAGCACAGCAAGTGCTAGGTGCCGCTGAAGGTAAGAGAACACCACAACACCCAGAGCTGCCAGGCTGCATTCTTTGGGAAATAAGTGAGACTTGACTTTGACCAGCTCTGACCCCGAGGCAATGAAGCTCAGCAGCACTTCATCAAGCAAGCTACTTCTGTGGCCTGGAAAGACCATTCACAAACCCTGAACCACTGGGGAGAAACATCTTCACAGAAGATGCTCTCATGAAAATGACATCATGCGAGGGCACAGAACGGAGTTTTGTTTCTCCTCATGTGCTCTGGAAATGCAGCTTTGGGGAGCAGTGCAGGGCTCTTTGTGCAGCGCATCTCCTGGAAAGCTACTGGTGCCACTGCTTCTAACCAGGAATCCCCACACAATGCCACAGCTCCCAGGGCTCCTGGAACAGGCTCAGGGCAAAGAGAGCCCAGCAGTTGTGTCCTTGTGCTCTTCTGTGCACAGGGAGCCCCACTGGGGATGCTGAGCTGCAGGAACCGCAGCAGAACCACGGGAAGGATATCCTGCTGCCCTCTATTTATGGCTCCTCAGGATGGAGGGGAGGGCTGTCCAACAGGCACAAACTGCCCCACTGCATCCAAACCTCAGCTGCCAGTGCCCCAAGGATGGGCAAACAGCCAGAAGGAACGTGCAGCTCCAGCTTTAAATCACCAGCCCCAGCACTCTCATGTGTGTGTCTCCAGGCACATGAGGTGGGCTATCAATTGTTTCAGGGGCACACATTAACACTGAGACACGGGACTAAGTGAGTGATGTGCATTACTCAACACAAATAAGAGATTACAAAACAGCAAAGTTGGCTTTATTCTACTTCCAGCAGCAAGATTGTGAGAAAAAAATCTTTATTTCTAACTTTTATACCCAGTAAACTGTGCCTCAACTTATCCAGATTCAAGAAAAAGACAGGCATCCCCTAAAGTAAAACATGCCAAGATGTTTTTTGTTTGTGTTTTGGGGGGGTGATTTTTAATTTTTTTTCAAAGAAAAATGTTTGCTTGTTTCCTTCAAACCATAAAAAGTTCTGTCCCATTACGCAGTTGACTTTTGTGATTTATTGACACTGTACCATAGCATATCCACCTAACAGCACATGAATCCTAACTGGTGAAATGAACTCCTCAGAGCATACACACTGCACTCCAGACCTGTCAGATCCCCCCATTCAGCTGGCAGCACCTGCTCAAACCACAGCTGCAGGAAAACACAGCAGCAACACAAAACCCCTGCACGCTCCTGTAGCAACATGAGCGCTTGGAAGAGGATGTTCATTGGCAAAGCTGCACTCAAAATGCAGGTCCAAAGAACAGGATTGGCAATGGCACCTCAACCCAACACAAGTTACACAAGCCAGGAGTTGCCACCCCCTGCCAGAGCCAAACTCACTTCTCTCCCTGCTCAAGAGGGGACAGCAACCCCACCAGCTTTACAGCCACGCTTGTGAGTCTGCCACCATCTGAGAAACTGCCACCAACACCAAACCCACCCAAAACCCCAAATGATGGGACCTGACAGAGTTAGTGGCATTTCCTCTTTCAGGCAGAGTGGCCAAGAGCTGGCAGGTGCCACCTCCAGGCAATCACCTCCAGCAACCATGGCAAGTGCAGCACCAAACTGGATTTGCAGCTGGATTTGCCAGGGTAAAACTGCAATTTTCCCTGGCTACAATGGCACTGTACAGGAATTCCTGCACCTCCAGCAAGTGGAGGAACTCCAGGCCTGTAAGGTATTCTGTACCCCTGTAGGGTACCCTGTAGGGTATCCTGTACCCCTGTAGGGTATCCTGTACTCCTGTAGGGTATCCTGTACTCCTGTGGGGTGCCCTGTATCCCTGTAGGGTGTCCTGTATCCCTGTACGGTGTCCTGTACCCCTGTAGGGTGCCCTGTACCCCTGTAGGGTGTCCTGTACCCCTGTAGGGTGTCCTGTACCCCTGCAGGGTGTCCTGTAGCTGCCCATGTTCACTGCTGAAGCTGCTCCCCTCCCAATAAAGGCAGTAACTCTTCAGTGAGCTGGGAGGGGCACCCCGAAGGCCTCACCAGCCCTTGCTACCCCAGCACTGTGGGAACAACCCCCAGAGCTTTGCAGCAAGAGCTCTGTGCCTGGGAAAGGGCAGAAAGGAACAAAACCTGCCCGTAAACGTGACCCCTCAGAGCTGCTGTCAGCGTGCACAGCTCCAGGAACACAGGAGGAAAAGGGAAGGGAGCAGTGTGCAGCTGGACTTCATGCCCTGCACAGCTCCTGAGAGGGAGCAGGGCAGGCAGCACAGAGCCCCTGCAGTTATCCATGTGCTGCTCCACACACCAGCAGCTCCAGGGAAGCACTCAGGCTGCAAACAGGGATTTCAGCGAGCGCACTCCTCTCCCCCAGATGTGAGATCCAGCTGGAACCCACCGACAGCCCCCAGCAGGATTTCCCTCAGCATCCCCCCGTTCCCGCACGGACAGGAAGAGGTGGGATGCAAACACGGGTTGCCAGGACACGGGCCGGTCACGGGATGCCCAAGCACCAGCTCCTGCTCTGCAGGCACGCTCAGCACCAGCACCGGGGCCGCTGTGCCAGCCCTGGGCACTGCCGGCACCACGCTCACACCGAGGCAGGAAATTCACAATATCGCTGCTGTCCCTTTCTACAACACTGAAAATGGCACACGTGTGCTGTTGTAATTTTTCTGGGGAAGGGGGCTTTGCACCTGCCATCCCACTGGTTTGGAGCTGCACAAACCCCCAAACAATGGCAAATAAACCAACCACTAACGGGAGCTGCATGCCATCCACTTTTCCCTGGCTCCTGCACAGTTTTGGTAGGGATGAGGGTATTCCCAGGTGTGTGTGTGACAAAGCCTCACACATCCTGAGTCCATCAAAAGAGGGAACCTCACACATCCCGAGTCCATCACAGGGGAGCAGCTGCCATCTCTCCTGTTTCTGTTCAACAGGCAGGCACAGCCTCCAACACGAACCTGGCAAAGGCTCTGCCTCAGCTCTACGTGACTTTGTGCCCACGGAGGGGCTGCAAAGCCACACTGTCCGACCGAGGCAGAAGTACAACTAACAGTAATTAATAATAATTGAAGTCACGTGTCAAAAACTTTACACAGCAGAGGCCGGATGGAGTTGCTATATATTATGCAAAAAACAACCACGGCCCTCTTGGCTTCCCACTGACTAAGAAATAAGCCAAGCCAAAACCAGAAGAAGACAGGGAGGGACCTTTGTGCCGTAGGAAAAGCGAGTAAACGCCTTCCAGCCTGTCCAGTCCCCGGAACCGGGATCGATCCCCGAGTCCCATCCCGGGGATGAGCCCCGTGCCACGGCTCCCTGCCCCTGCAGGCTGTGCCCGTGCCGCGGCTCTCTGGCCCAGCCACTACCGGCAAGGGCCGGTCCCGACCCGCGGCTTCCCCGGCACCGCGTGACAGCCCGGGCACCCCGCGATCCGGCCCGGGATCCCGGACCCCGCTCTGCGGCGCTGCCCGGAGGGGAGCGAGGCAGCGGGACGAGGACGGAGGCGGCCGGGCCGGCCCGGGGCTCCCTCCAACGCCTCCGGCCGTGCAGGCCCGGCCCGGCCCGCCCGGGGCCTCGCGGAGCGGCCGCTGAACGGCCCGGCCGCGCTCGCCTCCATTTTCCCCCGCAGCAGCGCTCCCCGCCCGGCGCCGGGCCCGGGCCGGCGCTCCCCGCGCAGGCCGCAGGCGGCGGGCCCGGGCCCGGCCGGAAGCGCGGGGAGCCGGGGGACGCGATGGCGGCCGCCGTGTGTGCCCCCCCCCGCGCCGCGGCCCGCGCTTCGCCGCCCGCTCCCCGGCTCCCACCTCTTGGTTGAAGGCGTTCACGGCCTCCATGTCGGCGCTGGCGGCGGGAGGCGGCGGCGGGCGGCGGGCGGGGCGGGCGGCACGGCAGGGCCGGTCGGTGCCCTCAGGGCGCGGCCATGATGGCGGCGGCCATGGCGGGGCTGGCGGGCAGCGCGCGGCCCGGGCCGACCGCGCGACGGGCGGGGGGGGGCGAGGCGCGGTGCACGCCGGGATCGGCCGGGCCTCCTCCCGGCCCACGCGAGACGTTGGGCGGGAGGGATGGCGGCGCCACGTGACCGCCCGCCGCCATGTCAGCGCCACCCCCGCCGTGGCGGGCGGGAATGGCGGCGGCGGCAACGTTAGTGCCCTCGCCCCCGGCACGCCCACCGGCGCCGTGGGGCCGCCCCTCACAGCCGTGGGGCGGCTGCCCCTCGCGGACTCGGCTGGGTCCGGCTGAGCTCGGCTCGGTTCGGCTGCGCTCGGCCCAGTTCGGCCGAGCTCGGAGCCGCTCGTGCGTTCGGCTCGGCTCGGCTCGGCTCGGCTCGGCTCGGCTCGGCTCGGCTCGGCTCGGCTCGGCTGCACTCGGCCCAGTTCGGCTGAGCTCGGAGCCGCTCGCTGCGTTCGGCTCGGTTCGGCTGAACTCGGCTCGGTTCAGTGGGTGCAATAAAATAAAAATGAAATTTCGAATTTCGTGTCCTGTCAGTGTTTTTTTTGTAGGATGTAAGCACGGAGTATTAAAGCCTGATACGGAATGTGTGACTAATTAACTTGTAAGCATTTTTGGTTTTGCAATACACTGGTAAAAAAATAAATATTTATATTTGTGTTTATATTTATATTGTATTTGAGGGAGGATAAAGAAATCCAAAGCAAGTGACAACTCTCCGGTCAAAGATGATAACAGAAGATAAAGATGATTTCCTTGGTACACTAGAGAAGCACTGATCAAATCCTAACCCGTGATTTCCATTAAACTTTCTGGGTATTGGGGAGCAAATAATTCCTGAGAGGCTTCACACCTTCAATTTCAAAGCTGTTTTTTAAATTTTTTTTTTATTTCCTGCTGTTCCACCAGTGCCTGCAGCGGCCAGGAGATGGCTCTGATGTCCGCGCTAAGATTAAAACCAGGGAAAACACTATTTTCCCTCCCTCAAACTCTATCTGAGGAGTGCCAGCAAATCTCTTCGGCCAATGGTGGAGAAAATAAAGATTATTTCCCACTGAAAAAGTACTAAAATCTATTCCAAATATAATTCATAACCATAATTATACACCAAATTTATTTTAAAAACGCCCCAAAATAAAACTTTTCAACCTTTACTTTCCTTCTTCTCCTCTAAATCTATTACATCCCTATTAAAAATATCCAATTTACCCTAAATATTAAAAAAATCTTTCTAATACTTAATCTAATAAATTCCTTTCTAATCTAATAAATTCCTATTCTAATAATTCTAATAACTTCCTCTATACAATCTACAACTTCTCTAAAATAAAAACTCAAATTTCAAAAAAACTAATAAAACCCCTAACCCAAAAATAAACCCAAACATAAAAAAATCATAAATAATATAAAAACTAAAAAAAATATATAAACCAGATCCTAAAAAAATTATCTAACCCTATAATCTAAAAGTTTACACATGAACAAATTCAAAACCCAACTAAAATTAAAAATATCTAAAAAAAAAAAGGCTTGATCTAATAATAATAATAATAGTAGTAGTAGTAATAATAATAATACTGTAGTAGTAATAATAATACCTGCCTCTTTCACAGCACAAACAATTTTTAAATTTTTTTGGATTTTTTTTTTCATTTATTTACACACTGGTGGATTTTTGTGTGATGAGAAACACACATTGCAAAGGTTTTTTGTTTGTTTTTTACCCCCAATACACGCATTTCTGCGTTCTGATTTCCTGCAATTCCCCCATATCCACAAATATGGCTCATATTAGGAAAATATGGGCAAGCCCAGAGTGGATTCTAGGAAAAATACCTTGCTGTAAAGTATACAAGTACAGCTGGGGATATATTCATGTTGAATACATGTGCTTGTAAATAAGATTTTTATTTGCATGTTTGACTCAGCGTGGGGATTGGAACATGCTTCAGAAGTCATTCCTGCCAACATTTTGGGGAGATTCTTAGATTCTTAGAGTTTTTCTGTATTTTTGATATTACACTATTTGGAAATCAACCAGCTGGCACCGAGGCACATTTGGCATGAGCTGATTCTGCTTTCAGTGACCCTGAGCTCTGCTAGCATCTTATTCAGAAGATTTAAGAGATGAAGCTCGTGTAATTATGCTTTTTGTACACATTTTTGTGTTTTGGGGAAAGGAGGCCTTAATTTGGTAAGGGAGTGACTCATTTATTTATGTTGTTATTGGTTTGCTGATTGGATAAAACCTTGGCTAGTGATTGCCCAAACATTTCAGTTGTAATGCTTGCATATAAAAAGGGATATATATTTGATACACAAATGTTTGTTTATCATCCTGTGATATTACCACGGTTACTTCTAAAAATAAACTGTTGTAAAAATGGACTGGCTTTCAATATTAGGCTTTAAATTTATTTTTGTGCGGCTTTGCTCTGCTTAAAATTTACTTTATCCAAGGTTCACACCCTCTTTTCTCACCTGCCCTGTCTCCTATCCTTGTTTAATGGGTATTGGGGGGCAGAATAAAGGAGTGAAGCTCCAGTGGAGCCCCTGAGAGTGACCAGACCCCATCAGCTGATGGAACAAAACCCAAAACCCTCCCTGTGTGCTCTGCTGGACCTTCCCCCTCTCTGTTCCAACAACTCCCAACTCTGATGGCAAAGCTTTCCCTGGATCCTCCTGCAGGCCGCCCTCCTGCTGTCCTGCCTGGCCCCCAAAAACACATCTGAGTCTGATCTGAAGGCTCCCAGAGAAGGAGGCTTTGCCACAGTGCCTCGCCGGGTTGCTGTGCTGCCTAATTACCCTCCCTGTTACAAACGTGTGTCTTGTTTTACAGCCTGAGTTTGTCTGGATCCAGCTCCCCAGGCCTGGACCTCATTATGGCCCTGTCTGCGAGCCTGGGCTCCCACTCAGGCACACACACACACACAGCCCTCCCTTTGCCAGCCTTGAAAGGACCAAGCTCCTCACTGGAAAGTTTATTATTTAAATCTTTTCTTCACTCTCAGAGCCCTTTCCTGAATTCTCTGCAGTTTACCAACTCCTTGACTCGTGGAGGTGCAGTTTTCCAGCTGGGGTTGCAGGAGACTTGGATCATTGAGCAGCCTTTTTTTCCCCTTCTTTCCCTTTTTCTTAAGAAAAATCCTTTTTCTGCTTGTTTTGCCTTGGGCCAGGGACTCAGATGTTCTTTGTGATAAGCAGAGGGCCCTCCCATGCCTGAGCCACATTATCTCTTTTGGCCACTTCAGAGCAGCAGGGCCTCAAAGTGCTGTCAAAGCCAGAGTGTTCATGAGCAATTCCTCTCCCCTGCCAAATATTTCATGGCACTCAGTGCTCCTCAGCCAGGTGGATCAGTGCTGATTCAGGGGGGAATGTGCTTGCTGCAGAAACAGGTGCAGGAACGAAAATCCCACTGGGGTTTGTAATAATCACCCTGATACTCAAACTCCATTCTGTAACCGTGTAAATATGCAAACCCAGAGCTGTGGTTTTATCTGTGTTGTTTTTCTTCTTTCTAGAAATTCTGTCAGTAAAATATTTCTAAAATTTATTTGGAGCATTCAGGAGCTGCCTTCCAGTTTTCCACTGAGGAATTTACTGGGATGTGCTGACTGGAACCTCTCTCCCCCTGAGTGTTTGAGGCAATTCCCCCCCTGGAACCCCTGGGATCAGAGCCCAAGTGCCTGCAGCAGCCACTGTGGGAGCTGGGAGCAGCAAACCCATCTCTGTAATAGGAGAAAGAGCAACAAAACCTCATGGGAAATATGATTTCTCCAATATTTTCTATTCTGTTGCAGGGGGAAGTTGGAACAAACGGTCCCAGAGCTCCTCCTGCTTTGTGCTCCTTGAACCAAGGTGTTAGGGGGCTTGAGATTGTGGGTAACCCTCTTGAGATTGGAAAATATGCAAGAAAGGGAAAATAACCTGGAGAGAAACAGGGATTTGAGGGGGATGTGTGTCTGTGTGGAAAGGGAACCCATCCACGCTGGGATGCAAAGGAGCTGTGTTGGTTTTCTTGGCTTTTACAAAGTTAAGGGCAGCTGAGGGGCATTTTAAAAGATTTTATTCCATCATCAGCCTCGATGAACGGTGAGACACAAGAGATGTAAAGCTCAGCACCATTCAACACTCCTCATCTCAGTATTTACAAAACACTCTATATTACATGTAATACAAATATATATGTGTATTATATACATATATTTGTACACATAATGTACATATAATACAAAAATATACAAAACTATATAAAGTTCCTGCCAAGTTTTAAAGATTCTATTACACAGAGTTGTGTGCAGTGTGCTGCCAGGCTTTGGGGAGCAGAGGCAGAGTGGCAGAGTTTCCCTGTGAAATGCACATTCTGGGTCTGTTTCCCCCGATCCCGTGACCCCAAAGCCCCAGTCTGGAGCAGAGAGGCAGGAATTTGCTCTTGCCCTGCTCTGAGCTCTCTCCTGACAGCTGAGAGCAGCCAGGGAGCTTTGCTGACACTCCCTGAGCTGGAACATCTGGAGAGTGCAGCTCTGCTCTCCCTGCAGCATCGCCAGCTCAGGAATGCTCTGCTCTCCCTGCAGACAGGGACCCCAGGGCACAGAGCAAGATGTTTGCCTGGGCTCTGGCAGCCAGGCTCAGGATAACTCATCCCAGGGGAGTCTGGCTGGGATGGTGCTTTTTAAACCGTGGTTATCCATCCAGGCTGTTAAACAGACCCAACAAAACCCTTGTACAGCAAATAAATGGGCTGGAATAAATAAACCACTCAGGTTTTGGTGGCTGAGCCAAGAGGTTCTTTAGCGAGCAAGTGACCTCTGCCAGGCCAGCCCTTCCTGATCCTACAAGGGAAGTGTATCCCAAGCGCCTCTGGAATAAACCAACACTGAATTTTTACATGGAAGTGGTGCAGGTGGCAGAAAGG